TATCTGGTGCTGATCGACCTTACCCTCCAGTGCCTGGGGGGGAGGAGTATCATGTTGAGTGAGCAGCCAGTAGCCCCCTGACCCCAACTCAACACCAAACCTTTAAGCACCCTGTGAGCCTGGCAGGATTTGGGAATCGCTTAGGGAGCAGGTACATTCTTCCTGCGCTGGTTTGTTGGCTGTGAGCCTTTCCTAGTAGGTTAATGAATAAATTCAGTTCACAGATGGTTCATGGAGCTGCTCCTGTCATGCAGGCCAACCCGAGACCAACAAGCAAGTGATGAGGATGTGGACAAGTTCTGTGGGAGCAGCATGCCCTGTAGCTGGGCTCTGGGCAAGGCTCAGAGGGGGACACACTAGCCGACCATTAAAGTACCAAGCAGGCTGGGCATGGTGGCTCACACCTGTAATCCCAGCACTTTCGGAGGCCAAGGCAGGAGGACTTCTTGAGCCTAGGAGTTCAAGAGCAGCCTGGGCAACATAGTGAGAGACCCCATCGCTTAAAAAAAAAAAATAGCCAGCATGATAGCATTTGCTTGTAGTCCCTGCTACTTGAGAGGCTGAGGTGGGAGGATCACCTGAGCCCAGTAAATTGAGGCTGCAGTCAGCTATGATCACATCATTGCACTCCAGCCGGGGTGACAGATTGAGACCCTGTCTCACCTACTAAAAAAATTACCAAGCAGTGTGTCACATTGATTAAAATAGTTGTGTGGCATACAATATAAAATGAGATCCTCTTCCCTTCTGAGCCCCCCTCTAAGAGGCACCATTGTTAACCATTTCTGACTTTTGTTTCTGAAATTTTTCAATGTTGGTAGGTAACTGCTGTGAAAAATGAAGAATGTAGTGCATGCAGGGTACATCCCTCTACCTCCCGTTTTTTTCTTAGTCATTTAGAATGTGAACATTTTGCTCTGAAACTACAATGAAATGTTTTACACGTAACTCTTGGTGCTAAAATACTGGCAAAAATAACTTGTGCTATAAATGATTCTCTGAGTCTCCTCTGGAATCAAGGACCAGGCGCACTGAGTGGGAACTGTGAACTGACATGCTGTTTCTCAGAGAAGGCTTCCTGGGCAAACTGGCCTAGCTGAGCACCGCCATCTCCTCTGGAGCTTCTTTCACGGCCGGGGACCTCTAGGGTCACCCTGGCTGCATATCTTTCTGTTGTGTTGTGTGTTGTGGAAACATGTCTTCCAGGAACTTGTTCCATCTAGACTGCATGAGAAGTTAACTTTGAGCTCTTGTGTGTCTGAAATGAGTCTGGACTGCCTGGATTGGTGTCTGTTTGGCAGGGTATAGAATTCCCAGTTAGCACTTTGAGGACGCTGCCCCCGCCACCTGCACCCAGTGTTGCCGATGAGACTCGCTGCCCATTTGGGCTGTTCCTTTGCAGATAGGAGTTGCTTGGGGTTCTGACATTTCACTAGAACAGCCTGGAGGTGGGCTGTTCATTTACTCTGACCTGGTCTTGGTGGGCCATTTTATTCTAAATTGTTCTCCTTCCAGTTCAGGGAAATGCTATTTTACTGTCTGTTTATACTTCATGATGTCTGTTCTTTGAACCTTTTTGACATAGTTTGACTTCCAGGCAGCTCTTCCATGTATCTTAATGTTTCTCTTCTATTTTTTTTCTTCTACTTCTCTCATTTGGTCTTTGAATTTTTTTCCTTCTTTTGTTTTTACATATGAGAAATTGAAGCGTAATTCACATGTAAGGAAACACACAGAACTTAAGTGTGCAAGTTGAGCTCTGACAAACCACACAGAGGTGCAGCCCACATGCTTTGTTATGATGTGGACCATTCCTCTCTCACCCCCCAACCCCAGGATCTCTTGACTCCCACCCCAGAGGCAACCATTATTCTGATGGCATTCCCCACATGCCCACATATCAGTCCGTCTTTTCCAGAGTTTCGCATGAAGATGGGATCCCACCGGACACATTCTTTTGTTTGGCTTCTTTCGTTCAGTGCGATGCTTTTGGCCGTCCCCTGTGCTGCTGAGAAGCAGGAGTGTGCTCCTTTTTGCTGCTGAGCCATGGTCTCATTTGCATGGGTGCAGCATGGTTCACTCACCTGGCCCCAAATGTTTTGGTGGTTTCCAGGTGGGGCTGTGATGAATAAGGCTGCTTTGAATATCCAAGTCCATTTTTTAATGGACTTAGGTTTTCTTTTCTTTTCTTCTTCTTTTTTTTTTGAGACAGAGTCTCTCACTGTGGCCCAGGCTGGAGTGAAGTGGCATGATCTTGGCTCGGCTCACTGTAACCTCCGTCTCCTGGGTTTAAGCGATTCTCTGGCCTCAGCCTCCCAAGTAGCAGGGATTATAGGCACCCACCACCACGCCTAGCTAATTTTTTTGTATTTTTAGTAGAGACAGGGTTTCACTATGTTGGCCAGGCTGGTCTCCAACTCCTGACCTCATGATCCACCCGCCTCAGCCTCCCAAAGTGCTGGGATTACAGATATGAGCCACCGTGTCTGGCATGTTTTCTTTCCTCCCAGATGGATTCTGGGAGGGGGAATGGCTGGACATAGAGCAGGCGTGAACCCTGCCAAGCCCTCCTCTGAGGGCTGCGCCACCTGAACTCCTAGCAGCAGTGTTCCAGGTCGGGCTCGCTGTTCCCCAGCCTCCCCAGTAGGAAGTATCCATCTTTTAATTTAGCCCTTCGGGGGGGTGTGGGGTGCATCTCAGTGTGGTCTTTGTTGGCATTTTCCCAGCGACTGATGCTGCTCAGCCTCCTTCCGTGTGCTGTTGGCCATTTCTGTGTCTTTGGTGTAGAATCTGTTCATGTGTTTATTACTGAATTACAGGAGTTCTCTATACATTTTGGATCTGAGTCCTTTGCCAGATACGTGTATTGAGAATAGTTTTTCCCAGTTTGTGGCTTGACTTAATAACCTTTTTTTTGGGAGCTGAGGTCCCGCTGTGTTACTCAGGCTGGTCTTGAGCTCCTGGGCTCCAGCCATCCTCTGCCTCAGCCTCCCGAGTAACTGGGACTACAGGCGTGAGCCACACCTGGCTGAATAACCGTTTTTGATGAATAGAACATGTTTCCATGTTATTGTCTGGGTTAAACATGCACTCTTTTATACTTAATGTTTCACTGGATTATGGAATATCTTATTTCTAAAACACTGAGCTTGTTAGTAAGAGCAGTGCTCATCGCTGTGTAAATGTGGAAGAGCTCCTTCTCTAGTGTTCCTTTCCAAATAGAAGCTTGATCTATCTTACTTGTGTTAACTTCGAGTCTTTATGGGAGCATTGGTTAGATTTTTCTTGGAGTTGCCATTGGTCTCTGAATTATTTGTTTTCTGGGTTGGCCCTGTCATGACGATGGCTTCTCTGGGTATTGCTTGGCCCTATGGTGATGTCACTGTGCGCCCCACACTGGAATGAAGGGGCCCATGAGAGTTGGTGCTGTGGGGAGGGCTTTGGTGGGTCGATGGAGGAAGAACTGTCTCATGGGCGCAGCCACGTTTGGGATGTAATTTTTCCCCCAAGATGACCCTTGTCGAGGTCCTGCCGCTTCTCCTCTCTGCGTTGGAGTCTGGCTTCACGTTCTTTGGGCCCTTCCGGAAGGATCCAGGGGTCTTGACTTGCATATACTTTCACTCTGATCTCTCCCCTCATGTATCCAGATTTACCTGCTTTCTATCTGTTTAGAGTTCCCCGGAATTTTGCTGTTCTGTGTTCAGTTGTGTTTCTGGTTTCCTTCTGAAAATACGTACGTTTCTTTTCCGACGTTCCCATGGGAATTGGTGGAAGGGAGGCATGTGTTGCTCTGTGGGCTCATTGGACCAGGACAAGGGGGTGATCCTGGGGCAGGACCTTGGATGGAGGTGAGAAGGGCATGGCATGTATGCAGCAGGAGGAGAGGTCTTAGCTGGGCCTGTGGAGGTGGCTGTCACCTCGTGAGGGGAAGTTGGAAGCACATGGGGCCTTCAGGGCCATGCGAACTCCCTGGGTTTATTCTGAGCCCTCTTTGGAGAGAATCCACTGAAGGATTTGGGGAAAGGGAAGGGCAGGATCCAGGGGGACTGCAGTGAGGGATGAGGTCAGGGACAGGGTGGTGAGAGATGGGCGGGCTCGGACAGGGTGGTGGGAGGCAGAGGAGAGAGGCAGAGGCTGACCCCTTGGCCCCCACAACGCTGGACGCAGCCCCCGCAAAGGGACCTCAGCAAAAAATAAAAAATAAAAAAGGCAGAGGCTGGGCAGGTGGGGGCAGGGTGGCTGTTGCTGGGACATGTTTGAATGTGGTGCCTGGAATTGGTGACCCCTCGTGGGACAGTGGGCAGAGCAGGCATAAGAGGCAGGCACCTGACCGGGGTTCACAGGCGATGATGGTGGTGTTTGTTTGCTGTTTCCTATTTTAAAGTTAGGTCAGTGACTGATTGTGCTGGCTTGTGCGGACACAGTGGCGCAAGGCTCTGTGGAGGTGTCTGCTGTGTCCTCCCGCACCGGACAGCCTGGGCTGCCCTCTGGGCTGTCGGCTGGTCAGTGTGGCTCAGCCGGGGCTTTTCTCTTCCCTGCATCCTCAGCTCTTGTCTCAGGTACCTGTCCACGTCTCCTCTGGTCCACCGAGCCCTGAGCACTTCTTCCGAGTTGTGTATACATTAGAGGTAAACTGATGGTTCATTCTTTTCGGAAACACACAGAAAGTGAGTGATTGTGGAGGAAGCAAAGGCCTCAGACGTGTTTTTGTGGAAAAAATGCACAAGTGTGGCAGTGTGGAGATTTGTGAGACTTCTTTGGCTTCGTAGGATATCTTTTTGCTGAGGTCCATTTGTGGGGACTGTGTCCAGGGTTTTGGGGGCCAGGGGGTCAACTGTTGTGGTGCCAGTGGCTGTGTGCCCCTCTGTTGTAGCTGCTCAGCTGCCTGTGGGTACAGGAAGGGCTGGTCCTACTGCCCCCAGGGCCGCTGGGATGTGCCACTGCCGTGTCCCCTCCTATGTCCCATCTCTTGCCCACTCAGCATGTCTCTTGCCCTCTAGGACCGGAAGCTCACCAAGCTGGAGCGGCAGCGGTTCAAGGAAGAGGCTGAGATGCTGAAAGGCCTGCAGCACCCCAACATCGTGCGCTTCTACGACTTCTGGGAGTCTAGCGCTAAGGGCAAGCGGTGCATTGTGCTGGTGACCGAGCTGATGACCTCGGGGACGCTGAAGACGTAAGCTCTGCTTCCTGAGGGCTGGGTGGGGGTCTTGGCATAGGTGCAGGGCCACCATAGCTGGGAGTGAGATCCTGGGCTACCAGGGTGGTCCTGGCTGGTGCCTGTGGGGGGCTGTTTCCTCTTTCCTCTCCTGCGTGGGATGCCAGCAGGTGGTTTACTTCCCAGGGAGATGGTTGATCTGTCTGGTGTCTGGGCCCTGTTTCCGGCTGGGGTTCTGTTTCCCCTTGGGAGCCAGCCCCACACATCTTCAGGCTCAGGAAGCAGCCTGGGTGGGGTGCATAGCGGGGACTGTGGGATTCTGAGGACGTGGAGGTGGTTAGTGAGGGCTGAGGGGTGGGGGGGTGGGGTGGCCATGGCAGCCTGTTGCTGCTCGCTAAGGCCCCAGTCTGCATTGTGGGGATGGGGGCTACTCTCCAGGTGCTGTATCCTGGGTCCATCTGAATCTTTGGATGCTGTAGCCTTGGGCAGGGCCTCAGTGCCCCTCAGCCAGGCAGTTTCTCTAATAGGTGGATGCACCGCAAGGGGAGAGCCCTTTTCTCAGCCTCACCCACCACCTCCTCCCTGGGCACAGCTCAGGGAAGGCCACACAGGCAGGCGGCCAGCAGCAGGAAGAGCCCCACCTGGCCCCTGAGGTTCTGACAGCCCCGGGCTTTCGTAACCCTCACCCTCACCTGAGCATCTGCTGACTGGGACTCTGTCTTGCCTTGGGCAACTTACAAGTCAGCCTGGCACCATCTCCCAGTGAAGTCAAGATGAAACTTGGCGTGAACTTTAGTCGCCAGGTCCTTGGCATGAGCAGAGCAAAGAGGTTGTGAGCCCTCCCGGCTGCCTGCTCAGGGGCCTGTCAGCTGTGTGACACCTGGCCCAGGGCAGAACTGCCCGGCCCTCCCGTCTCACTTTCACTCCCTGTCACAGGTGTGTGCCGTGTACACGGAATCGGTCTTAGTACAGGCCTCAGCAGCTATAGGTGGGGGCTTTGCTGCCGGCGAGCTGCTTGGTGAGCTGTGCCCGTGCACCCCTGCAGGTACCTGAAGCGGTTCAAGGTGATGAAGCCCAAGGTTCTCCGCAGCTGGTGCCGGCAGATCCTGAAAGGCCTGCTGTTCCTGCACACGAGGACACCGCCCATTATCCACCGAGACCTGAAATGCGACAACATTTTTATCACCGGACCCACTGGGTCTGTGAAGATTGGTGACTTGGGCCTGGCCACTCTCAAAAGAGCGTCATTTGCCAAAAGTGTGATAGGTAAACCTGCTTCTCCATCCCAGGTCCTGGGAGCCCATGAGAGGCCGGGCAGCGTTCAGGGCTGGCGAGCACCCAGTTTTGTTCAGACCTGGTGCAGGAGACCTGGTGGGAGGAGCGTCTGGGTGAGGGCTGGGTGGTCTTTGGTAATCGCCAAGCCTTTGGCAGCTCAGCTGGAGGGCCTGCCCACTCGGTGGATGCCCAGACACCTTGGGCTGGGATAGCTGACTCGCCTCCCTCCCTCCCCTGTTGCCCCCGCCCGGTCCGACTGTTCCCTCTGTGGCTGTGGCTTGGGTGCCAGGTCTGATTTTCTAGCAGGGGAGGTGGGCTGGGTGCCGATGCCTGTGGTGTGTGTGGGTGCCATGGGCACTCAGGAGAGGAAAGCTGCCCTGACCACAGAGGAACTTGGGAGGTTTGTGGCCAGTGATACTGGAGCTGTCTCAGCTGGACGGGGGGGGGCCACCCAGGCTGTGAGGCCCAACAAAGTAAGAACCTGCAGTATCTGGGGAATCCACATACCTGTGTGGCAGGGCACAGAGCAGGCATTGTGCACAGGATGGGAGCAGGGCGCCAAGGAATTAATTCAGCTTGTTGGGCGTTTCAGGCCTCAGTGCAGATGCCCCCACTGTGAGAAGCCTTCCCGGTCTCCTTCTGGGGCAAGATGCCCTTGACCCTAGGGGCAGCTTGCCAGAGCTTCTTTGCAGAGACCAGGGGTTGGCACTGTGCCACGTGCCTGGCTCCAGGTGTGCTCCTGGCACAGTGGGTGCAAAGAGTCCACTAGTTTTGGGTGGGGGCCTCCGTGGGCTTTGAAAAGAATGCTTGGGCAGCTGTGGAGCAGCTGTTTCTAGGGTCAGGAAGAGGCGAAAGCTGCAACATGCGCAGGGGAAGCAACATGGGTCACGGCTCAGGAAGCCCAGGTGGGACCCAATCAGATTAGACTGGGAGAGGCTCCACCATGTTAATTAAGACCCAGCGTGCCCCTGATGTGAGGGCAGGACAGCGAGTGGCTGATCTTGGGGCTTTGTGAATTCTTACTTCTGCTGCATGTTTGGGGACAGAACTTGGCAGGTGTGGGGAAAATGAAACTGCAGGAGCTGCTTTGGTTTGAGAAGTATGTTCAGAATGTGACATCTGGGGCAGGGTGGTTGCCCGGGGGTGGCCTCTTGGACACAAAGTCACTGGCAGTCTGGGGGAGCTGAGTGGCGGGGCATATGGGCTGACTCAGGATTCGGTTTCCCCATCTGTGAAATGGGTGTAGAGGTGAGGGTCTCTGCTCCCTCCTGGAGGGACTGAGAGCAGAGGCCCAGGACTAAGGAGAGCTCATGCCCCAGGGCTGTGAGCTCTGCACACTTTCTGGGGAGTTTTTGCAAATTTGGCCTTGGAAGTGGTAGGAATCCAGGTCTCAAACCCTGGGTGCAGTTGGGTGGCATGAGGGAGGCTCAGGATCTCCCACTTAGGAGTGAACACTCCTGGAGGAAGCACAGCCCACTGCGAAGCCACCACCCTGGCAGAGCCTCTCGGCTTCCTCTGGCTGGGCGGCCCTTAGCACGCTTGGAAACGAGGTTTCAAGTTGCTGGATCAGGTTGAGATGAAGCCCGGTGTTTCCAGCAGGCACAGTGGGTTCCTTGCGCCTCACATGGGTGCCCAGCTCTGTGGGGTGTCCCTTGTCACCCCAGCTCTTGCTCAGCTGCAGTCCAGGAAGCTTCGGTTAGAGAGACTGCAACCAGCAGTGTCCTCAACTGCCCAGGCTCCTAGAGAAGGAGGCTCTGTTGATGTGACACCCAGGAGCACTGGGCAGTAAGGCCAGCCTTCAGCAACGGGCCAAAGGCAGGAGGACTGTGGCCAGGTGGGGGGTTCCCCTTAGGCTTGTTACCCAGGTGTCTCCCTAGTCCTATGAATGGGAGCCCCCAGGTCTATTTATATGAACCCCCCAGGGCTGTTTGTAGGGCTCCCCCTGGCCTGTGAATGGTGTTGGCCCTAGCTGCTCACAGGCCCTGGCCCTGGTGGTAAACAGATCCCACCCTCCTGGGGCCTGTGTCCTACTGGGATCCACGGTCCTGTTGGAAGGACAGCCTGAGGCCATAGGCCCCATCCCCTGCAGGAGGAGGGCCCTCCCTGCTCACCAGTGAATGCCCTTGGGGCAGTCGGTGCTATGGGCCCCTTTCAGCTGCGGCTGTCAAGATCTCCTCTTGCAGGTGGGAGAGGAGAGCAGGTAGCTTGCACATGTGGCCTGTGCGAGGGATCTGGGTCAGTGGCTGGCTTCCCAGGGCTGCTCTGGGAGGGACATGGATAGATTGAGGGAGACAGGGTCCCTGTGCCTGATGTCATTGTCCTCACAAGGGCCCTGACCATGACCCCTAGACCTAGCCATGTGAATGAGCAGGGTCTTGCGGGACTTGGAAGTGCCCTGCCCACCTGGGAGGGCTTCCTGGAGGAGACGATGAGGGACCCAGGTCCAGCGGTGAATGAACCGAGGAGGGGCCAACGTGAGGACACTCCTGGTTGTAGTGTCTCTAGCTGAAGCTTCCTGGACTCCAGCTGAGTGAAAGCTGGGGTGACAAGGGATACCCCACAGAGCTGGGCACCCATGCAGGGCACAAGAGCCCTACCGTGCCTGCTGGAAACACCTGGTCTTTGCCTCAACCTGATCCAGCAACTTGAAACCTCGTTTCCAAGAGGGCAAACAGCTGCCCAGCCAGAGGAAGCCGAGGGGCTCTGCCAGGGTGGCGGCTTCACAGTGGGCTGTGCTTCTCCCGCCAGGAGTGTTCACTCCTAAGTGGGAGATCCTGAGCCTCCCTCATGCCACCCAACGTGAACCGAGGGTGGTTATTGTAGAAGGAGCCACCTGCTGCCCTGGATGGGAGCGGCTGGACTGATGAGTGGCTGCGGCACTTTATTCAGATCCTCTTTGCAGCCCCTAAGAAGCAATCAGGGGGCCCCAGGCAGTGTGGATTCCCCTGCAGCAGGTGCTGTCTGCTTCACCTGCACCCCTGAGAGCCAAGGAGGTGGGCTCTGCCTGTCTGGTGAGAGGAGGGATGAGGGCCGTCTGTATTGGTTTGGTTTGGTTTTAATAGAAATTGTGAGGATAGTTAGGGCTAAGAAATCTTTTGATTTCCGGAAAAGAAGTCATTTGTCTTTCGTTACAGATTTGGGAACAGGCAAACCCTAATGCAGGGTGGTTTTCAGGGGATACGAGGTGATTTTGGCATGAGACTGGAGTGGGTCCCTCCCTCCTCTTACTTGGCCAGAAGCAGGGACCCCACCCTCCAGGATCTGAGACTGCCTAGTATCCACAGAGGGCTGAGCCACAGTCTCTTCTCCTTAAAAAGAAGAAGGGCCGTTCTGCCAGAGCCCTCATCTGCCTGCCACAGAGGGGCCTGCAGAGGGGCCTGCGTGGGGTTCACACGGCCGGCTGGCACAGGCAGGCCCTGGCCTGGCTGAGGGAGACGGGGCCCTGACATGCTGACTTTCACACAGTGGTCTGCAGGGACCTCAGGTGCAGATGAATCTGCAGAGGGGGCTGTGGGCAGGGGACCCACTGGGTGACTCTGCAGCTGATGGCCGTCCACAGAGTGGGTGGCAGTGGGTAAGACTGTCTACTGACAGACAGGCAGACACACACACACTCACACACACACACTCAAACACACACACACTTTTAGAATTCAGATTTAAGTGACTATAATTTGAAAGAAAGATAAAAAGAGTCTGAGTGCATTGGTGTCTGAGCACTGGCGTCTGAACATGTACAAGAGTGGGCTTCATGAAGGTTCCTCTGCACCTTCTCAGAGATGCCCCTCATGCCTGTGGCCCACTCCAAGAGCCAGGTTCTCTGGGGCATTGGAGTAGTTCCTACAGAGCAGTGTCCTCAGTTCCTGAGAGTCTCAGAAGAGCTGGATCCCAGGGACACTGTCACCTCTGTCTGAGCCCCAGTGCTTTACTGGCAGCCAGATCACTGGGGGTCGCTGGAGGTGCCAGAGAGTGGCTGGCTGGCTTCCTGCCCAGCAGTCCTGGGGTTGGGACTCCCTTTAAGATGTGGCCAGGCCGAGGGCCTAGGTTGTGGCCTTGGGGCTCCCCATCACCCCCTCCTAGCAGGAAGGAGCTTTGCAGCAGTCCCTCTCTGCAGTCACAGGGCTTGGGTGGCGTGGGTGTCACTGTGGACAACGGAGGTGGCCCTGGGGAGCGAGTGCTTCCCTCCTGTGGCTTAGGGCTCCCCCCTGAGTCAGCCGTCACATCTCCCTGTGTGCCCACTGCCATCAGGAGGGCCCCCTTGGTGGCTGTCGTGGTCCAGGCCCATGCAGCAGGTGGTGAGTCCCTACAGGTGGCTGCCAGGGGACCCCGGACACATCAAGAGAGAAGGAGAGGCCTGGGAGCAGGTGTTCACATTGTGACCAGGCCGGGCTCACAGCCATAGCTCAGGCCACTCCTCTCTGTGGCCTCCTGTCTGGGGCTTTTGTGGCATTTTTGCTTCCCGCTCCAACCAGGGCAGCACATTTGCTATTCAGTGACAAGCCTAGGAAAGGAAAGAAACTTCGAAATACTAACTTAAAAATCATCGCACGGGGCCAGGCACTGTGGCTCATGCCTGTAATCCCAGCACTTTAAGAGGCTGAAGCAGAAGGTCAAGCTCAGGAATTTCAGACCAGCCTAGGCAACATAGTGAGACTTCTGTCTCTATTAAAAAAAAAAACGAAAAGGAAAAAGAAAGGAAGGAAGGGAGGGAGGGGAAAAGAACAGAAAGAAAAGAAAAGAAATTAGCCCAGCCTGGTGAACACCTGTGGTTCCAGCTACTTGGGAGGCTGAGGTAGGAGGATTGCTGAAGACTGGGAGGTTGAGGCTGCAGTGAGCTGTGTTTGTGCCACGGCACTGAAGCCTGGGCAACAGAGCATGATCCTGTCTCAAAAAAAAATTGCTAGTGCAGCAAATTTTCAGTATAATCATGTGGTTAAAAAACCCAAAAGAATAAAAGTTCCCAGGCCGGGCGTGGTGGCTCACGCCTGTAATCCCACCACTTTGGGAGGCCAAGGCGTGTAGATCATGAGGTCATGAGTTCGAGACCATCCTGGCCAACGTGGTGAAACCCTATCTCCACTAAAATACAAAAATTAGCTGGGCATGGTGGCATGCGCCTGTAGTCCCAGCTACTCAGGAGGCTGAGGCAGGAGAATTGCTTGAACCTGGGAGGTGGAGGTTGCAGTGAGCCGAGATCGCACCATTGCACTCCAGCCTGGCGCCTGGCGACAGAACACAACTCTGTCTCAATAACTAACTAAACTAACTAAATAAGTAAATAAAAATTCCCAGTGTCAGGTCCCTCCACTCAGCTCCTGTTGTTTCTCGTGGGTTCTCCCAGAGTTCTGTGTGCATAGACTGTAATCTAAACGACATTCTTGTCCCAATTTTTATCCAGAATGTTAACTTAAAAAAAAAAAGGCCAGACACGGTGGCTCACACCTGTAATCACTGCACTTTGGGAGGCCAAGGAGGGCGGATCATTTGAGGTCAGGAGTTCGAGACCAGCCTAACCAACATGGTGAATCCCCATCTCTACTAAACATACAAAAAAAATTAGCTGGGCATGGCGGTGTGTGCCTGTAGTCCCAGCTACTTGGGAGGCTGATGCAGTAGAATCGCTTGAATCTGGGAGGCAGAGGTTGCAGTGAACTGAGATTGCACCATTGTACTCCAGCCTGGATGACAGAGTGTGATTCCGTCTCAAAAAAAAAAAAAAAAAAAATTAACACATTTTAAATCGAAATGATGGGTAAACAAAACATGTGCTTTTAAAATGCACTAATTAGTTAGCATGAGCTTTTTAAAAGAAACTAGAACATTTTGAAAACCTTCCAAAGTCAGCAAATAACCAGACGTTAAAAGCACCCGTACTGAAGTCTCTGGTCCCCTTTCTTTGCATTCAGTGTGACAGACATGCAACTGGATGTATTTTAATAAAAAGGTCTTTGCAGTGGCTGTATTACAAAAGCAAAAGCTTATTATAGAGAATAGAGCAACCCTAGACCAATATAAGTAAAAAAAAAAAAAAAAAAAAATCAGCCCTTGCCCCCTGCAGACATTGTTTCGCCCTGGGAGTTTGGTTTTGCACAGGGGAGTCCAGCCAGCACGTCTAGCCTCATGCTCGTTTTGCTCAGCCTATCATAACTTTGCCGTGTCCTTAAAAATTCAGTGAAGACACTGCTTTTGCATCTCTTATGTTTAAGAGCCGCATGCGGTTCTCATCTTAGCAATCTGTGGTTCTGTCAGGTGGATTCCATGCTCTGCCCGACCCCCATTCAGGGGCGCCGTCTTCAGTGGTGCTGATTGTTGGACATGCTACATCACACTGTCATGGGGGCGGGCTGAGTGGACCCAGCTTTTCCCCGCCTTGGGACATTAGGGGTTTTGTGGCTTTAGGTAGCTCTGTGGCAACCCAAGTTCTTTCTGCTCCAGGATGTCTGAGTGTGGCTGTGGCTGAGTCTGTGGCAGGATCACAGTGTCCACAAGCGAGGGTGTGCTCAGGGCTTTCTTTCCTTCCAGGCTCAGACCCTGTCCCCTGGGAAGTCATGACCTCCCAGCTCATGAGCAGGGGAGGCTCTGTCACCAGATTTCTAATCCTGGACTCTTGCGGTTCCAGCTGGAACTTTTGGAATTCTCTGTCTGTAGAGCACACCTGTGTCTTAAGTGAGGGGCAGGGCTGGCTCTGGGATCTAGGCGTTCTGAGTGTGCTATGGGATGAGGAGGGGACATGGGGCTCTGGGCAACCAAAGCTCCTGGGACACTGGCTCCAGCTGTTCCTGGGCCCGTGGCCAGCTGACCGCTGCGTCTCTTGCTCCCGTGCACAGGTACCCCTGAGTTCATGGCGCCCGAGATGTATGAGGAGCACTACGATGAATCCGTGGACGTCTATGCCTTTGGGATGTGCATGCTGGAGATGGCCACCTCGGAGTACCCCTACTCGGAGTGCCAGAATGCGGCCCAGATCTACCGCAAGGTCACCTGTGTGAGTCCGCCTGGCCCCTTGGTTCATTAATAAGGACATGAAGGCTGTGGGCCATGCCCTGGGCTTGGCACCAGGTGCCTCTGTAAAGTCCTCCTGGCAGCTGTGTAAGGAAGGAGATGGGCCATTTTATAGAGGGGGAAACTGAGGCTTAGTAGGGCGGTGGTTACTCAAGCAAGGTCTCCTGTCTGCAGCGATGGCAGTGCATGGGGCACTGTGGGCAGTGCCTAGCCACGGAGGCTGTTGATCTCACAGCAGGGACATTGGGGAGACTGAGGCCCAGAGGCTGGAGCTTCACCATAGATCCCTGCCTGGAGGCGTGCCCAGGCCGCCCGTCCCTAGCACCCACACTCTGGGCTGCCCAGTGCTGCCTGCTTTCCTATCTTCTTTATTTAGAAACAATGGTTTGATTTCTTTTTCAGCTAAACCTAGACCGAGTGTGTCTCTAGGCAGTCATCAGCACTGGGCAGCTGGGAACGTTAATCCCTGTTTTGCTGTTGCTGTGATTTTTTTCTTTAATCAGACGGCTTCAGCTGCATAAACAGATCGGCCTTGTCCTCCCTCTGTGGCGTTCCCGCTGGGTGGAGGGAATGCAAACAGAACATCTGGAAATGGAATGGCTGGACTGAGGCTTTCCGTGCCGGTTTTCTGCACTGTCCATCTGCTCTTGTAGTGAAAAGCCCAGGGGCTTGCAGAGCTGTTCCTGACACGCGACGTCCACACTGAGGTCCCACGCTGCCCTGATCCCTGCAGTCCCCGCTGTCTCCACATGCCACCTGACTGGGTGGGGCCCCACTGCCCCTCAGGGCTGCTTCTGCAGGTGCACCAGGGCTGTGGTCCTCAGCAGCTGCGCAGCCTCACCTTGGCCCATCCCTCCATCCCCAGCCCTCTTTTCAGATGACTTGCGTTTCTCTCCCTTGGTTGGTGTAAATCGTCAGTGACTGGGTTGTTCTGAGCCCCTCCTGTGTGCCCCTGAGGAAGTGGGAGGGCAGACAGAGTCCTTGCTAGGTGGCACTTGTGGGCCTGGGTCACAGACTTCACAGACAGGTGCACAGTTTTCCATGGGTGCTGGAAGAAGTGGGGACCTGCTGGCTATAGGCAGCGGCCTTCCAGGGAGGCAGGGATGATCTGCAGCAGGAGGAAGTGGGGGCACTCCAGAGATCAAGGGCTCCATTTGCCAGGCCTCGGGGTGCTGGTGTGGGGTGGGAAGGCCCCTGGATTCACCATGGAGGGTGGATGGTGGTCTGTCCGGGAGCCACCCCAGGGGCTGGTGGTACTCCTCGACCCTTGAGGTGTACACTCCTGGGCTGATCCCCTGGGGTTCTTCACCCCTGTGTCTGCCCCAGGCTGGGTTCTCCAGCAGTCAGGGCAGAAGGGCGTGCCCCCACCTTCTTCCTGACTTTGGGAAAATGTATGCTTTATGTTCTCTATATTAAGAAGAGTCAGGTGAAGCTTTTGAAATCTAAACCATATTGAAGGAGGAGGAATATGATGGTTGGTACTCTCATTGTGTTTAAAATTTCTTTAAATTAGTTGCTTATACACCGTCTTACTCCATTTCCAACAACCTAGGAGATGGCAAGGGGCACCTGGCCCCGCCCTGCTGCTTATGAGTTCGAGTCCGGTTGTGGGGCTTGCCCTCTGCTCCCTTCATGCACAGCCATCAGCTGGCTGAGGGGCCACCGTCCCTCAGGCTGCCACCTGCACCCCTCCCAACAAAGCTGCATGGTGTGATCCTTAGTTAGCAGCAGTGACCACGAATAGTGCTCCTGCACCCTCAAGGAGGAGGTATGGGGAGGAAGCCCAGGTGTGGTTAGAAAGTCCCAGCTCTGTGGGAGGCATCCTATCCACTGCATCATGGCGCTGCCTTTGCTGGCCTCCTGGCACAGGGGCCCTTGTGGCCCTGTGTGGGTGGCTTTGCAGCCAAGCTCTGATCAACACCTTTCCAGAGGCCAACTGCTACATTTGAGGTGTTAACCCCAGTGTCAAATTCTGCAGCTTAGGTGGAGGTGTGCAGTGTGTTGTGGCTGGGATGATGGTGGCTTTGACAGATGTGGGGTGACCCAACAAGGTTCTAAATGGTAGGAGACCAGGCTCCTGACTTCAAGCAGTGGGGAGGGGAGACTTGGAAGGGAATCCCAGTGGTTTCACAGAATTCTCCAATTTATTCCTCGTTCTGCTTTATCTTGCTTACATCTCTGGCCATAGAGTTTCCATCAAATAGTGAAATTTTTAGCCATTATTTCTTCAAGTCTTTTTTTATGTCCCCCCATCCTGTCCTTTTGGGACTCCAGTCTTATGGATGTCATGTGCATCCCAGATTCTGAAATGAATGGAACAGAGCCTGAGTGACCATCTTTCTCTGCGGCACCACATCTTCAGCGTCACTTGTCTTTTTTCTGCAGTGTGTAATCTGCTGTCAGTCTGCTGCAGGGAAGCTTTCAATTCAGATATGCTTTTCATTTTGAGTTCTATTTTCAGTTTTTATCTCTCATTTCTGTATGTTGATTTTCCTTTACTACTTGTATATATCTGGAAAGAGTTTTAACCTCCTTGTCTACAAGTTGCAGCCCCTCTCATTAGTAGGTCTCTTTCCGTTGGGTGGCGTTTCTGCAGTGTCATGGGTCACTTTTTCCTTGCATCTCAGCATTTCTAGTAATTTTTGATTGGATGCTATACATTGTACACATCTGATCTGTGTGAACTCTGCGAATTACCCAACCTGTAGCTTTCTGTGATTCTCTGCCTGGCCCTATGGCATTGACGATGCACATGTGGTCTTGTGGTCTGGTCCTCAGTAAAGCCTGGAGGGGACCCAGTTGCAGATACTTGGGGCTCTTTTTTTTGCTGTGCATTCTCTTCCTTCTGGAACTCTGCCTGTGGCCTCCTCAGCCTCCCTGAACTCAGTTCTACTCCTCAACTCAGTGGGCTGCTGGGCTCTGCTGGGTTACAGTGCCCTGTCTGGGAACTGCTCTAGGCAGTGAGCTGGGGCTGTGGGGGATTGTGTCCCTTTCTCTCAGAGCCCACGTTGGCACTGCCCTGTCATCTGTTTCGCATATTTTGCCCAGTTTTCTAGTAGTTTGTGTAGGTTAAGTTCAGTGCCCATGTCCTGCCGTGGCGGAAAGTGGGAGTTCCTCCCTCTGTGGTGGAGGCCTTGCCTTCGGGCGGCTGATGGGTCAGGTAACTCTGCTCTCTCCATGTCAGGGTATCAAGCCGGCCAGCTTTGAGAAAGTGCACGATCCCGAAATCAAGGAGATTATTGGGGAGTGTATCTGCAAAAACAAGGAGGAAAGGTGAGTTCCCCTGAAGGGTTGCATTCTGGGGTCTCTCTCCAGCTGAACTCATTTCGGCTGGCATTGAGAGCTGTGTTCTTGATGAGAGGACTTCAAGACAGGCAGGCTCAGGTCAGGGTGTCTGTAGCATGTCAGCAGGGGCTGCTGGGCACGTCGGTCCTGGGTGCGTGTGGGTGACAGCAGGCCAGGCCCCCACGTCCTTGTCGGCCATCTGGGAACCCGCTCCTTGGCATTGGGGACAGCCTCGTCCTTGGCTGTCTGCTCCTGCAGGATCCAGCCTGTAAGCATCTGAGCTCCTGGGGCTTCCCCAGCCCCTCTGCTTCTCTCTGCGTGATTTGCATGCCTTGAAGAATGTCCCCATACCAGGCGCTCCAGGTGTGGGCCTCCCTTTTGAACCCTGATGTGTATTTCATGGACCTGGTTGTTTGACCCTTCTCAAAAACAGCGGCCCTGGAGCCACTCCCCACCTCCAAGCAGGGCCCATCCTTCCCAGCCGGTCAGGGGGAAGGCTGGGGGTGCTTTCTCAGCCCTCCCTCCCCCTCACACTAGAGTACGTCCACCATCTGATGTGACACCTGTCAGCAGTCAGCAGGGATGGATTGTGGAGACTTGAAACCGCGCGGGTGACTCTGGAGCACACACACAGGAAGTTAGGCCCCAAGGGTGTGTGCTGTGTTGTTCCATTTACAGGATAAACGGGGTTAGATTAGTGGTTAGGGAGGCTTGTTTGGGTGCCCAAGCCCTGCAGAGCCCCGAAGTGGTCACCGTGGCCACACCCTGTGGCCCGCCCCTCCAGATCTTGCATAGAGCCTTCAAGGCTGTGTCTGGCTGGGGGCCCCCAGTTCTGCAGGTCTTCACTCTCCTCTAACGCGCCCTCTGCTCTGCTCTCTGTCACCTGGCCGGCGTCCTTGAAAAGGTCACTGCTTCATGGCACTGGGCGCAGGGAGCTGAGAGTGTGGGGGCTCCGCCTCCGTGTCCATTTTAAACCTACCTGGGACTAAATACTAAAATGTTTCAGTTGTATCTTCTGACAATTGAAAGCAGGCTAGCACTTCCCCAGGGGCTGTATTTGCATAATGGGAGGCCTGATGTTTTCCCAAGTTCTCTTTTGTATCACTGAATCTTTTATGAGCATTTTTTTTAATAATGAGGGGAAAGAAGGAAGTCTTAAAACACTATGTATTAATAGTAAGACCGGATTCACTGAAATCTTTTCCTCACTCCTGGGAGTGCTGAGACGCAAGGCCTGGCCTCAGGCGCCTGCAGCTGTGCCTGTCCTTGCCCTGGTGCGCGTGGCCACAGGAGCCTGGGCATGGAGGCCCTGGTGCCCGTGCCCCTGCCTGTCAGCCACTCTCCCTCCAGGTACGAGATCAAAGACCTGCTGAGCCACGCCTTCTTCGCAGAGGACACGGGCGTGAGGGTGGAGCTTGCGGAGGAGGACCACGGCAGGAAGTCCACCATTGCCCTGAGGCTCTGGGTCGAAGACCCCAAGAAACTGAAGGGAAAGCCCAAGGACAATGGGGCCATAGAGTTTACCTTCGACTTGGAGAAGGAGACGCCAGATGAGGTGGCCCAGGAGATGGTAAGCGGGACTCAGATGGGGTGCGGGTGCAGGTGTCGGCAGCTTGCGGCTTCCAAAGATGAGAGCAAAAGTGGGCAGAGGGGGCTTGCTCCGGAGGGGACTGCGAGGCCAGCGGGGGCAGCGGTGCCATCCAGGTGGGCATGGGCAGCTGAGGGTTCACAGCCGGCCACATCTGCCTGGGGAATTCTGTGGGGCACTGCTGCACAGGGGTAGCCTAAGTGGGAATCCCCTCAAGGACACAGCAACTGGGGATTAGCAACTCTGAGCCAGTATAGCGCAGGAATTCGGAGGGCAACCCCAGGACCTCTGACCTTTCCCTGTGGGAAAGGCCTCATTTGCTTTGCTGGACTCTTGCTGACTTTGTGTCAATGTGTGGTGGCTTTGGGTTTGGGAGCTTTGCCTTTCCTTTTGTTTGGGGGCACTGTTGTATTCAGTCTCTGAGACCTGCGACTTTCTCACCTAGAAAGGTGGGTGGGGGGTACCTTTCCACCTCTTCTCTTCCTCCTGTTCCTTCCATCATCTTCACCCCTGTGGATGAGGAGTGGGTTGGGGAGGGCAGCAGAAGTGCCCTTTGTGCTGGGGTGTCATCTGGGCCTCATTGGAGGAGGCCCTGAGTCGGCTGGAATGAGAGGCGGGAGAGACAGAGTCGCAGGCACAGGCGGAGAGGGCTGGGAGTGGTCCAGGTGCAGCGGTGGGAGGAGAGGCCATGCCCACAATGCCAGGGGATCAGTGATGGAATGGGGACTGTGTGGGATGTGGGGACTGGCGCAGCAGGTGGGATGGATCTACATTATTCTGACTTGATTTCTCAGGTGTCTGCCATCCAGTAAAATAGCCACTGCCCACATGTGCTATTAAAATATAAGTAATTAAAATTTAAAATCCACTTTCTGAGTCCCACTGGCCACATTTCAAGTGCTCAGTACCAAGTGTAGTTAGTGGTTCTTGACTAACGAGGGACGTTTCTAGCCTGGAAGTATTCTGTGGGGCACTGCTGCCCTGGGCCGGGGGAGGTTAGAAGTTCTTGGACAAGCAGGATTCGGTCACAGCCCTGCCAGGGATAGGGCATGTTTGCTGGGCATTGGGCAGTGGATGCCAGAGAGGGACAGTGGTGGGAGCCTGGCCTGGGAGGGCTCCAGGGCCAACACTGCCTCCCGAGAACCCTCGTGCAGGACCTGAAGACAGACAGAGACGTCTTTGTCGTTGGTTACAAAACATGAACAAACGTTGACATTAAGTCAGACAACTTGATACGAAGGACAGGAATGTCTGCACCGGAACGGTGAAAACAAAGCCACAAAGGGGAAAGCCTGTGGGAACGAGAGGCTAGGAAGAAGGCAGTCAGTATTGCAGACTAAGACAGTTGTGCGTTTTCAGTGAACACCTGAGCAGAAACAAATCCAGCGTGCTGATGGCCGGAGAGCCCTCAGCTCATGTGTCCTGACCACAAAGGTGCTTGTGCTTTTTTCTTTCTGTTAAATGAGCTTTTTACTGAATATATCACGTCTGTTGAAAATGTCCATCAGTCATCAGTTCCAGGCTGATGATTCCAGGCTTCACTTCTCCAGGCCGGGCTGGGTCTCAGTAAGGGGGCATGGATCATACCTGGACGAGGGTCACACAGAGGTGGGAGGGGTGGTTGCTCTGGAAGGTTCCTTTGGAGGCCTCACTTGAGTGGGAAACCGAGGCTTCGCAATGTCATGGAAGGTGCATGGGCCCTCGGAGCCAGGAATACTGGGGTGTAGTGAGCTGCATTTTTGTCAGCCTCGCAGACTCCGCTTCTCCCAGCAGCTGCTTGTCCACGGGGCCCTTGTGTGTGGTGCGTGAGGGATTCACTGGGGCACATCGTATAGACTATGCCGTGAGGTCAGTGCAAGGAGCAGCAGTCTCTCAGCTGCCTTCCTGCAGCCGTGACCCCCAGAAGGGAAGCAGGTAGAACAGGGCTGCTTCTGGGGCTAGCTGTGTGGCTGTGGGCTTTGGGCTACATGAGCTAACGTCCTGCTGGGGTCTTGGCATGCTTCCTGCTGCCTCTAGTCTCTCCACAGCTGTAGGATGGGGTGCTCCTGGTGTGGGCCTGAGTGCATGGCCTCAGCCCCTGGGACTCGGACTGGAGGAGATGCCTCCTCAGGCTGCCAGTACCTCAGCCAGGGCTCTGCCTTCTCCTGCACAGTGGCCCATGTCCAGGGCTGCGATAGCACAGTGAGGCTGGCTACAGCATCTCACTGTGGTGTGGTGCCCAGGCTGGTTTCCCCGTGGGGTTCCTGCAAGCTGGCTGCACCATCACCCTAGCTGCTGTGAAGTGGCCACCTGTGTCCCTACCTGGCCCACACTCTGGCTTGTCTCTGGTCACATCCCTGACTTGGACACAGAAGCCTCTGCTGTGAGCAGATCTAATGGGGTCGATGAGCTCTGTGCTTCCTGGAGGATCTTTCATGGCTCTCCATGACTGTGTGGTGCCCAGAGGTACATTTTCAAATTGAATTGCCACAAGTTTGCTGTGAATTACGTTCGGATAATTACCAGCACACCTGTCCTGTGACTTCAGGTGCACCGTTTCTCTGCTGATGTAATACAGCTGCCCCTTCACACATTCATTGCAGACAGCCAGTGCTGAGATGCCGCACAGGCTGTGTACAGCATGCAAGCTGGGTAGTGGGGTGGCGGCTGCAGCCCAAGAACATCTTTTTGGAGGCACCCGGCTGGCCCCTTGGTGGGAGGGCTGAGGTTTTGAGAGGACAGAAGATGGTTTCAAGGGAGGATGAGAATGAACTGTGGGAATCTCATGCACAAATGGGGATGAGGAAGGTTCTGGGGCAGCTGTGCTGGCTCTGACCGTGCAGGGAGTTACCTCTGTCCTGGTGCTGAAGTCTAGGCCAACCGCACGGATAGGAGGGCATTTGGGTGGCCTGGTTTAGATGTGGTGACAGCCTCAGGAAGGGCAAGAGAATGAGGCGCTCTCATTCCTTCCATGAATGTGGTTATGCTTGCTGGGTGCTGGGGGAAGAGGGTACAAGGGATTGGGGAGCCGTGTCAGGAGGCCAAGTGCTGCAGCGACAGCTGAGTGGCAGAGGGGATATCAGAGCTGGGTCAGCGCTGATTCCAACACAGGCGGTGCAGCCTGGGGAGGGGCCCAGGATTCTACGAGAGGTACATTTTCATGAGAGTACATTTGAAAATGTACCTCCAGGAAGCACAGAGCTCATGTAACACAGAGCTCCAGGATTCTACAAGAGCAGTGTTGCTGCCTCCACAAGCCATTGTGGCCTCCTTGCCTATCTTGGGTTCTGTCCTAAGGTGGCAGCGCCCAGAACCTGCCTTGGGCCCTGTCTAGCTGCTTCTGAGACAGGTGAGTAGGAGGAGCCTTCCAGGACTCCGACTCCTGCCTGTCCCCCACCCTCACCCACCTCCTGCAGGGTGGTTGTGGACACAGCTGCCCCCTCAGCCTACAGCTCCTGCATCTGTCACCACTCGAGTCCCTGTCCCTGGCATTTGGCTAAACTCCAGGGCTGTGTTCCTGCATCAGTTCATAGCAGAGGCCCCTTGGCCCCAGCGCTTTCACCTCTGCTTCTGCGTCTTTTACATTTTTTTCATTGTGAAACACCCCACCCGTGAAATAGAGCATTCAAGTAGAAGAAGGGACACGACCTGTGCTCAGCTAAAGCACAGCCATAAGCAGCACCCACCCCACTCAGCTAAGAACAGGGAAGACAGTGCCTCAGGAGCTGCCTAATGGCAGCTGGAAACTGCATGCTCCCACCTTGGGGCTCGCTCCCTGGGAACAGGTTGTGTACCCCAGCAGGTCAACACTGGGTCCCCATGGAGCCTTTCCAGGTTCTAACCTCACATTCCTCCGTCCCGCTCATTTTAGACACCAGAGTCTGTCATTGGCCTCCCTAGGGTCCTGACACCAGCCCCTGCCATGGGCCCTAGGAGGGGCCCTGCCGTGATGCAGGGGAAACAACATGACGTTGGTATCTGCTGAGGCTAAAGAGAAGCTGGAAACTGGCTCTGAGACTGCTCCTGTTCCTAAAATCTGAGATTAGGCCAGGTGCAGTTGCTTACGCCTGTCATCCCAGCACTTTGGGAGGCTGAGGGAGGAGGATCACTTGAGCTTGGGAGACTTCCATGAGCCATGATCCCGCCACATGGCTGCCATGAGCCATGATCCCGATTTCCAGCCTGAGTGGCAGAGCGAGACCCCGTCTCGAGCATCCAAAAATCCCTGAGATTAGCAAGTGTTAGGTGTTAGAGATGTTCTGGAATCCAGGTGAGACTTCCTTCTGGAAGTACCCCAAGGGTAGGGGAGAATGTGGATGGGTCAGAGCTCTCCTCCTTCCCCCGAAGTCACCTCTCAGCAAGTTCCACGGGGTGGGCAGAAGGGGCTGGATAGAGTTCCCCAGGGAGAGGCAGAGGGAATAGCAGCTCTGTGGGGCCGCAGCCAGCTTCGATCTGGAAGGGACTCCGGGAGTCGGCCCCCAGTGGGATTCCTGACCAGCCCTTCCCTCCATCTTCATACTTTCCTGATAATGCGATGCACCTGTGTGGCACTCACCATGGCTAAATGTTTTCCTGTTTGGGGAAAACAATAGAAGAAACGCCTTAGAGAGGAAGGCTGGGGGTGGGGCTGCAGGCTTCGGCGCCAGCAGGAAATAAAAACAGCAGCAGGAGGATGTGGCCTCGGCAGCCTCTGGTCACATATCTGGGCTGAAGTGGGCAAGGGTGGGGCTGTGCCCTGGGTGTGACCCTGAGGCCACCTGGGGCCTTAGGTATGGTCTCACCCACGTGCTCACCAGGAGCAGAGGCCCAGGCCAAGCAGGTCTGGCCGGGTGTACATACCTGCCCCCAGGTGCCAGTGACAAGGACACCTGCCTCAGCCTCTCTGTGAGATCCCCCAGGGTTGGAGTCCATTCTCCGAGACTCTGGAAAAAGTCCACTGTGGACTCTGAGGCCAGAAGAGGATCTGGCACATGGTTTTTCCCCCTTCCCAGCTGGGCTGGCCTGCTGCCGAGTGGCCTTGGGGCTGGTTTGGGGCCAGCAGGAGACCCTGAGTGTGGGAAGGTCCCACTGACTGAGTCGTCAGCCTCTGTTCCACCTCACCAACCCCTCCCGCCCCACTCAAGTCTCTCCTGAGTCAGGGGAGACTGACTGGGGCTGTTTTTGTTAAGGAATGTCATTCTGTGGAAAAGAATTATCTTTTGAAACAAAGATTTTTCAATAATTACAAGCTTACTGAAAAATTGCAAGGACACTACAAAGAACCATTTATTTTCCATGAACCATTTGAGACTAAGCGGCTGACCTGATTCCCCTGCAGCCCTGAATACTTTCATGTCTGCTTCCTGAAACTAGGGCACTTTCTTCATCCGGAAGAACCGTCAATCCTTGGGCCTATCCTCCTAGCCTCGGGCCGCTCAGGTCCCCAGTTGTCCCAGTGACACCATCATGAGTCCTCTGGGCCCCTTCCATGCCTGACTCCCATGTCTTGTCCTTAGGAACGCGCTCAGGCATCCCTCTGTGGGTGGGTCACAGTCAGGTCGTGCATCTCCACGCGAATCTCGTGAAAGGGGCTGAGTTTGCATTGTCCCCCAGGGTGCACGGCTTCACCTGCCAGTTAGGCAGAGGCTGGCTCTGAGCTTGGTGCAGGGCGCCTGTGGCTTCTCCAAGTGGAGCTCCTCTCACCTTTCGCAACTGTGCACGTCTCACGGAGAACGCTCGGACACTAAATATCCTGTTTTTCGCCAAGCTTTCCACTTATTTCTGTACCTCTCTGTGGCTCATGGTTTTCTGTTCTACTCCACGGATGAGTTGTCCCATTGACGCCTAGTGAGTCACTCAAAACGCCCTGGCCCCAGCCTTGGAGGTCAGGGATCAGGTGCCTCGGCTCAGGGGCCCCAGTGAGGTGGGGTCGGGTGTTGGCCAGGACTACAGTCTCAGACCCTGCCTCAGAACTCAGTTCCCTGCCAGGGGGGACTCTGCATAGGGTCATTTGTCACATGGCTTCCCTAGAGCAGATGATCCACAAGAGAGGGAGGGAAAGAGACAGGGTGGGGGAGCCATAGAGGAGAAACGGAGGGAGAAATGAAGGTGCAGAGACCACACCTACCTGCTGCCCCCCCAACCCCACTGCCTGACACCAGCAGTGACATCTCATCCCTCCTGCCACCCCCATATGCAAAATGCATGTCAGAGTCTGTGGACATGTCCTTCAAACCATCATTGTGTCACTGTTTATTTTGATGCTCAAAATGCCCCAGATTTGCCAGCGAGAGGCCCTCAGCACTGGCTCCCGTGCCGTTTTGCACGTCCCTGTCACTCTGAGCACGTCCTCACTGTCGAGCTGATCCTGTCCTTCTCCTGCCCAGCCTTGAGCTGCACTTCTTAGAGTCACGCTGCGTTCCTGTCCTGGCCGAGCTCCACATGTACCTTGCTGTGGGTGTCGTTGCTCCCAGGCCCTCCTGGTGAACTCAGTTCACAGGTACACACGTGTCTGTGCGTTTATACCACGCAGGTGCCGCGAGCCTCCCTGTGCAGTCTGCATCTGTGTTTATTCATGCCTGCTGTGCGCTTCATACCAACAGCTCCAGTTCCCGCCCAGTGAAAAGGTTCCTGTTGGAAATGTCTGCCTCTCCACACCTGAGGAGCCTGGCATCCACTCTTCCTAATGTATTTTCTTGTTTGGTCACTTTTGTGGGGTCGCCGACCTCCAGTGGTGCTTCCTCTCCCCCACAGCTACGACTCCTTCTGTGCCCGTCCCTGCCCGAAGCCAGGGCGCCCTCCTGCATGGGCACTTCCACCCTACTGTGGAGGCCTGGCTGGTCCAGCCTGACTTAGCGCCCTTAGGACTGAGGTGATCAGGGAGCGGAAGCGCAGGTGGCTTTGGAATCATCCTTCTCCCGTGTTTTCATGTATTTGCGGTCACTACAACTGCAACCTAGCATGAGCAGCCCTTCAAAAGGGATCTCTTTCATCAGAAGAAGAAAGCTGGTTATTCCATGAATATTCTCAGTGAGCTCATGATGTTTCCTGGAGACCTTGGGGCTCTTTTACAAATGCTCTCAAAGGCTCTGCTTGGTAAATCAGTCTTAGAATTTGCCAGGCATGAGTGCGTACTTAACTGGCCCGTAATTACAAAATACATGTCTTTCCTCCATCCATAACTCAGGTGTGGCCCAGTTCCCCATCTTTGGGCAGCCCCAGACTCACAGATGTTTCAGAGGATGCCAAGGAAAATGTTCCCCGAAGTTCCTTGTCCCCACTTCCGAGCATGGAGACAAGCAGGAGCCCCTGCCCGTGCTGCCAGCCCTGGGGGTGCCAGGAGCTCGGAGAGCCCCAGGGTCCACCCAAGGGTCTGCTCTGTTTGGCTCTTGCCGTGGACTCTGTGGGAGGCAGGTCAGGCCTTCGTGGTGGTGGTCTTCCTTTGCCTTGCCTGGCAAACCCCTGCTATGCCATCTCTGAGTGGGCTCCATGGATTTTACAGTGGGATGATGAATGTGACCCGAGTGGATGAGCCAGTGATGGGAAAGCACTTTAGATAAGGGATGTGAGCCACCGTGGTCTGATCCCAGCGATGCTGACAACATGACTGCCTTTGCAGATTGAGTCTGGATTCTTCCACGAGAGTGACGTCAAGATCGTGGCCAAGTCCATCCGTGACCGTGTGGCTTTGATCCAGTGGCGGCGGGAGAGGATCTGGCCTGCGTTGCAGCCCAAGGAGCAGCAGGATGTGGGCAGCCCAGACAAGGCTAGGGGTCCGCCGGTGCCCCTGCAGGTCCAGGTGACCTACCATGCACAGGCCGGGCAGCCTGGGCCACCAGAACCTGAGGAGCTGGAGGCCGACCAGCACCTCCTCCCACCCACGTTGCCGACCAGCGCCACCTCCCTGGCCTGTGAGTGCTCAGGGGTAGGGTGGCCATGGACGCCCCTCCCACCTACCCTGCAAAAACCAGCTATTGGGCAAAGAAAAATGAAGTCCTCTCCTTTATTGGAGTGCTTTGTGAGGAAGGGGGTCAGCATAGCATCCCCTTGGAGGAGACATGGTGCAGCTCTGAGCTGTCCTTACATAGCGTGGGTGATTGCTTTTAGATGTAGGTGGTTCCCGGCAGTCCTGGCCGGGTGCCTGGGTCCCATGACAGGCTCGCCTTCTGCCAGCACCCTTGGTGCCAGGGCATGTCATGAACTTCACAAGAGAGCAACTTCCAAGGTGGTGGGGCCAGCAGACCTAAGCACTGGGATATGCAGGGCCTGATTCTGTGACCAGCCTGGGGCCTGTCCCCAAAGCCCACCAGACAGGTTGTGGACTCTATCTAGGTATGGGTGAGCCTTGTTTCAGGGACGGGACTGGGGCTTTCTCAGCATTTCCCAGTGATCTGTAACCAGAAGGGGATTAAGGCTCACTAAAGTCCATGTTCTCAGGACAGATGGGGACAAATGAGCCCTGTGCCAGCAGGCTCCGATGGAGCCAGTTCCATCCCACACTCTGCTATGGATCTGTGGACTTGGGGCAGGTTCCTTATCCTGCCTGAGAATGACAGTTCTGGCCCCTTGTGGGGAATGTGAAGTCCAGGTGAGGTGCCAGCAGCAGCTGCCTGGTGGGGCATCTGTCCTGGGGACAGAGTGTGCTGTTTGCTGGCTTGGCTTGTGAGTTGTCATTGGAATCTCCCATCCCCAGTCGTGTCTCCCTCCGAAGGCAGAACCTTTCAGACCTTTTGTACATTTTCAGCAAGGTGTTACTGATGAATTGGCAGGAATCACTATGGATTAAGCTTTATCTAAGACCATTTAGGGAGAATCTAGTATCTTCTGCACATATAGGCAGAAAAGTTCCTGCCTGTGCCCTCAACATCTTAAGAATTCAGCAGTGAGCTGAGGACAGAGGAACGAACATGGCTTTGTTCATTCTGTGAATAACCATGAGATAGAATGACAAAGCCAAGGGACCTGTCCGGGCCGATATTTCAGATCATTCATGTGCAAAGACTGAAATAGTCTGTTTAATTTATTTAATATGCACATCCTTCATTTATCATTGAAATGACCACTTCTTCAAAGTAGGCTATTTAAATTCAAACACGCCGTCATCATGTCGAGATGGTTTGCCTATTTATGTCACAAACCTGCACAGGTTTGCTTTGGAGAATAAAATTGGTACATTATTGCTCCATTTTCTGACACATCTAAAAAATTAAAGAGCACAGACTTTTTGTAAGAAAAAATTCTCTACATCTGACACAGCACTACACACTTTTAAATTGTTAATTGCTGGTTAAACAGTTTCTAGGATGGGAGTTTAAAAATCTCCTTTTTTTGAACTTTGGGGAGACAGTTTGGGGATCTAGAAACATGTTTAGCTTGTGGTCAGATAGAATTCAGGTTTGATCCACTATGGGAAAATCAGATGGAGCCATTGACCATCTGATGCTTGCAATTCAAGTGTGGGTTCTCTCTGCAGACAGGTCCACTTCCAGGCCGGCTGAGAAGGATTCTGTGTGCTTTGTGCAGAGGCCATGGCCACGCTTCTCAAAAACACTTTTATTCATTGATTGCAGTTTCTTTATAAAGTAGGTAACATCGCCACATGGTATGAAATTCAAAAAGGCCAGGAGGTAGCAAATCACTTCATTGTCGTCCCTACAGGCAAGAGATGCTACCAATCCCTTAACTGTCCTTCTAGAAATAGTGGACACATATAGCCTACCACACATGTGAACATACATAGGCACACATAGAACACACACAAATACATAGGCATACCCACACATGCCCACACATGTGGACACACACATATGTGTACACACATGCACACCGACCTGCATGCCCCACATGTGGGTATACAAATACCCACCCTACATGCACATGACATGTGTATGTACACACATGTGAACACCCCACACAAATGTGAACACATTCACATGCACACACAGGCACACGTGTAGGCACTCATACACGAATATGTACATGCACACTCCCATTCACACATGCATGCATGTGTACATCCCTGCATCCCCCTCTGTTTCATAATGGATAGTACCCCATACAGCCTTCTGCACCTTGCTCTGGGAGGTGCCGGGTAAGAGCGGGAACCCCATAATCCAAGAAGAACCTGGTCTACATAGCAAGATGGGCAAACAGACACACATTAGCATGTCGGAAGATGCAGCAGTATGTCAGTTTTCACAGTTTTCCCTTGTTGTGTTTTCTCGAACTGCCCACCAAGGGTCCTGACCAAGCGGAGGTTTTCTTGGTGACTCCATTTAAGCAGCTGATGACTGTGGTAGCACATTTGCCAATAGGTTTAAAAATGTCTTCCAAAATGTTTAATTGTGTAAGTAATGAACACATTTACTTTTGTGTGTGTGTGTGTGTGTGTGTGACAGAGTCTTGCTCTATGGCTGAGGCTGGAATGCAATGGCGCAATCTCAGCTCACTGCAACCTCCACCTCCTGGGTTCAAGCGATTCTCCTGCATCAGCCTCCCTACTAGCTGAGACTACAGGCATGCGCCACCACGCCCATCTAATTTTTATGTTTTTAGTAGAAATGGGGTTTCGCCCTGTTGGCCTGGCTGGTCTCAAACTCCTGACCTCAAGTAATGTGCCCGTCTCAGCCTCCCAAAGTGGTGGGATTACAGTCATGAACCACCGTGCCCCACCCATATTCACTTTATTTTTAATTTTTAAATTTTTATTTGAGATGGAGTCTCACTCTGTCACCCAGACTGGAGTACACTGGCACAATCTCGGCTCATTGCAACCTCCACCTTCCAGGTTCAAGCGATTCTCCTGCCTCAGCCCCCCAAGTGGCTGGGACTACAGGTGCGTGCCACCACGCCCAGCCAATTTTTTTTTTTGTATTTTTAGTAATGATGGGGTTTCACTATGTTGGCCAGGCTAGTCTCAAACCCCTGACTTCGTGATCCGCCTGCCTCGGCCCTCCAAAGTGCTGGGATTACAGGCATGAGCCACCATGCCCAGCACATATTCACTTTAAATATGCAAAATGTGGGCCAGGCATGGTGGCTTCTTTTGGGAGTGAGAGGTGGGTGGGTCACTTGAGCCCAGGGGTTCGAAACCAGTCTGGGCAACATGGTGGAACTCCATCTCTACAAAAGGCAGAAAAATTATCCAGGTGTGGTCGTGTATGCCTGTAGTCCTAGCTATGTGAGAGGTCAAGGCTGTAGTGAGCCGTGATCACACCACTAGACTCCAGTCCAGATGACAGTGAGACCCTGTCCCCCTCAAAAAAAAAAAAAAAAGTAAAATGCTACACATATGGTTAGAATAGCTCCACTTGAAATTCATCAGGTCCATACACATGTCCCCGTCCTCCCTGTCCTCTCCCCTCCCATCTCTAAGTGGAAATGACTGCTTGGCTCATTAAAAATCAGAGCTGCTTGTCTAATTGGTTTTGCACAATAAAACCTCAGCATTTCTTATGTCTTCTTCGGTTACCATAGGTTCTATCCATTCCTGGGAAAAGTTATTTTAACGCCAAGCCAACAAGATTTCTTCTTTGTTTACATTATAAATGGACACAATATTCCGAAATGCAGCCCCTCTCGAAAATAGCTTGGCGTTTGTAAGTGGTAAATTCTGAAGTTTCTGTAGCTTTTGGAATCTGGAAGCAGTAAACCCAAAGTACCATTTCAGATAGGTTTTCGTTTTCCCCTCTGCTGGCATGGCCCCACAGGCGAAGATGTTCCCAGGCACACCATAGTGTGAGAAGCCTGTGGGCTCTGGGGTCCTGTCTGTGCCCCCATGGGCAGGTGGGTCTGTTTGGGTTTGATCGGGGCCAGGCCAGCCTGAGCCATGTGAGGCCTCTGGGGAGCTCAGGCCATGGACGCTTGGTGCTACCCCTGCCACTGCATCCACTGCACGGGGAAATGGCGGGTGCATTCCCCTCTCGAGACCTCCCTGTGGGTGTTCGGGGCACCTTGACCCCATTTTCCAACCAAGTTAGACCTGGTCCCTTGACCTCAGTCTCCCCAGGTTGGGTCCTTTGCCGTGGTATGTGAAGGTGGTCAGAGTCCTGAGACACCCTCCCCTCTTAGAAAACACTGTGGATTATTTATCTCCACAGTGAAGACATCAGCTTTTTCTTAACTCAGACATTCCTTTGGCCTCCCAAGTCCCTTGTGCCTTTAAGAGCTGGAATGTGTGCCTGCTACCCAGGCCATGGCAGGCTGGTTGTGGGTACCTGCCTTGTGGGAGGATTGGCAAGATGTGCCCGCCCTGACATCACGCTGGCCAGACATGGGCAGTGTTGGGGTGGGGCACAGTGACAGCCTCCCCAGTGTGGTTCTGTAGCAGTTGATTGTTCAAACAATATGCACAGGTTATTAAGGTGATCTGGAGAAACAAGCCTTTATTTTGCAGAAGAAAATATGCAGATGAGCCAAAGTCTGTTCATGTGGCATTTGGAGATGTCCACTCTAAGTCCTGCTTTTGTCCTCCGCAGCGGACAGCACCTTCGACAGCGGCCAGGGCTCCACCGTGTACTCGGACTCACAGAGCAGCCAGCAGAGCGTGGTGCTTGGCTCCCTTGCCGACGCAGCGCCGCCCCCCGCCCAGTGTGTGTGCAGCCCCCCTGTGAGCGAGGGGCCCGTCCTGCCGCAGAGCCTGCCCTCACTGGGGGCCTTCCAGCAGCCTATGGCTGCGGTGAGTCAGAGCGCCACTCCCACCCAATTCCCCATCCCCACTACCTGGTCTGAGAGCTCTGAAGTCTGTGATGGGCTGTCCAGGTTGTGCTGCACTGTGGTCAGCATTAAAAGTGGCCTGTGGTCAGCTTCCAGCCACACTTCCCCTGGGAGACATTCAAAACTCAGGCCCAGAGGAAAGCCCTGTCTTTCCTGCCAACTGCAGAACTGCTGGCTGGGTAGCCTTGACGGTCCCATAAAGACCTACTAGATGGGAAAGACACCCTACTGGAAAACAGACCTGGAGACACCCAGAGGTTGGAAGACTGTGATAGAGCTGAGTGGTCACCCCTGGGGGGCAGGCACAGTGATAATGGTGACAAGCCATGGCCACAGTCATACCGATTGACTGTGCCCTGGGCCTGGCACATTATCTCAGACTGTTCCAGAGATCACAGAAAAGCATCATTTGTAAGAAGGAAACCTGAAATTCTATCTCACTGCCCAGCCTTCTGAGGGGCTCCTGGCACTTCTCTCCCCAACACTGTGTAGCGGTTAAAGTCAGAGCTGTGAAAATGGGGTGGGGATGAGGGGAACACTTTCAGGGACAATGTATGGTGAAGGAGTGACGGAGCCTCCGGCTGTGGGGACGCCTGTGGCATGATTCCCACGGGAAAGACTAAGATGAGTGGGGTCACATTGGGTATTTTTTTTTTTATTTTTAAAAAACACTTTAGAAAGCAAAACAATTGCTCTTCACAGTCCCAAGTGCCCAGCCACAGAGAGGTTGCCCATGAGCCCAGGTAGTAGATTGGTACCCTCAAAGGGTGGTTTGTTTGTTTATATGAGACAGAGTCTCGCTCTGTCACCCAGGCTGGAGTGCAGTGGTGTGATCTCGGCTCACTGTAACCTCCGCCTCCCGGTTCAAGCGATTCTCCTGCCTTGGCCTCCTGAGCAACTAGGATTACAGGTGTGTACCACCATGCCCGACTAATTTCTGGATTTTTAGTAGGGACGAGGTTTCACCATGTTGGCCAGGCTGGTCTCAAACTCCTGACCTCAGGTGATCCTCCCTCCTCAGCCTCTCAAAGTGCTGGGATTACAGGTGTGAGCCACTGCACGCAGCCTCAGAGGGTGGTTTATGGGGTGACCTATCTCACCTTCTGTGTGAGCTGGGAAGCCTAAGCAGGGATACCACAGGTACAACCACTGTGTACTCTGGGCCAAGCTCTTCCCCTAGCGGGCAGCTCCTGCCTGGTGCTTTGGCCATGCGGGTTGTCACTTGTACACTCAGTGCTGTGGCCCGTCTTCTTGATGCCGGCTGAACGTGGCACATGGGCTGTTCTGGCCTCCTCTGTCCCACTGGCTGCCCTGCTGTATGCTTGCATGTGGGATCGTTCTTCCCAGGCCTGCTCAGTTGGAAGGGTCCAGAAAGGCCCTTTGAAAAAGCAGTTGAAGCTGTTTGCCGAGTCTGCCTTTGCTGACTGCAGCCCCAGAACTCATTTGCAGTTTTCTTCATTTCATAAAATGAAGTGAAGTAAAATTTTAAACAGCAGAAAGATCTCATTTAAGAAAAGGCAAGCCTGGGCCGGGCGCGGTGGCTCACACCTGTAATCCCAGCACTTTGGGAGGCCGAGGTCAAGAGATCAAGACCATCCTGGCCAACATGGTGAAACCCCATCTCTACTAAAAATACAAACATTAACTGGGCATGGTGGTGTGTGCCTGTAGTCCCTGCTACTCGGGAGGCTGAGGCAGGAGAATTGCTTGAACCCAGGAAGCAAAGGTTGCAGTGAACTGAGATCATGCCACTGCACTCCAGCCTGGCACCTGGCGACAAAGCGAGACTCTTGTCTCAAAAAAAAAATGAAAAAGCAAGCTGGATGTAGTGGCTCATGCCTGTAACCCCAGCATTTTGGGAGGCTGAGGCAGGAAGGTCACTTCAGCCAGGAGTTCCAGGCAAGCCTGGGCAAAAAAGCAAGTCTATGTCTCTATAAAGAAAAGAAAAGGCTCCTAGCTGCTCCGGAGTGGTGGCTCTTGGCTTTGAGGATGGGCTGAACTGGGGCTGGACTGGAATGTTCTGCTTTGCTCTCATCCCTCCTCAGCCTAGGTTAGGGCTTCCCATGCCGTGTGATGCCACACGAGGCACTCCTGGTCTGGACTCCCACTGGGCCTGGGCTCCCTCTCCTGTGTCCTCAGTGATGCTGCTGGTCTCAGCATCAGCATGGAAGCCAGGAGACCTGAGGGACATTGCAGGTACAGTCACCTTGGACCAGGGGCCCGACTCTCATCTTCCTACCTAGTGACGCAAAGACACCTTACTCAAAAAGGATAGGCATGGAAGGGGTCCTCAGGTATGCTGAGGGCTCTCCCCACCCCTCCATACCTTTCCTGGGAGGGTTGCCATGGCGATGTGTCCGTGGCACCCAGTAAAGGAGGAGAAACAGACAAGGAGGAACAGCTGCCATGGGGTTGCCAGGCTGCCCTGGCGGTTGTTGGGAGCACCAGGCCACTTGTTCCCAGGCCACTAGGCCCTGCTCAAGCTCTAGGGCTATGCACAGTGCCCGGAGCTGGTAGACAGATATGGTCCGGCCCAGTCAGGCCCATTCTTCCACTCCCTGGCTTCAGGTGAATCCAGAAGCCCGGCTCAATTCCGCATATACTTGCTCTAACCACTCACCCCATGCTGCCTTTCATAAAGTATGCACAGCGAGAGACAAGTGAGGGGGGCGGTTTTGGGCATGCTGTCACTCACATGATCCAGAGAATCCCACGGGGGAGAACGTTCATGGCAGGGTGGAAGAACCGTGATTCTCTGTAGCCCCGCCTGCTCCTCACATTGCCGTTGTTTTGAAGTAAATCCCAGACAGCGAGACAATGCCTCTGTAAATGATTCAGCCCCTGGCTCCGCACAATATGGACTCAGAACACAAAGCCCAATCCCATTATTACACCAACAAAATTAACAAATTCGCAGCAATTCCTTAATGGTGGCAAATTTCCCATTCTGAGAGCTTAGATTTCCCATTCCTTTGTGGTCTGTGTTCATTCTGCTGCTGGAGCGCTCACATGCTGCTGTTCTCGGGCCTGTTTCTCTCCATATCATCTATGAGTTATGTATATATTTTCATCTTACACAGTCACAGTCATATGGACCGTGAGCGTCCCCATTTTTTTTTTTTTTTTCTTTTTTTTGAGACAGAGTCTCACTCTGTCGCCAGGCGCCAGGCTGGAGTGCAGTGGCACGATCTCGGCTCACTGCAACCTCTGCCTCCTGGGTTCTAGCAGTTCTCCTGCCTCAGCCTCCTGAGTAGCTGGGACTACAGGCCCACGCCACCACACCCAGCTAATTTTTGTATTTTTAGTAGAGACGGGGTTTCACTGTGTTGGCCAGGGTGGTCTCGATCTCTTGACTTCGTGATCCGCCCACTTCAGCCTCCCAAAGTGCTGGGATTACAGGCCTGAGCCACCGTGCCTGGCCGAGCTTCCCCATTTTAATGTCATCGGGAGCCTCTCCACGGTTCTGTGAAGCCTCTGTGCTGGCCTTTTTTGTGGTTGTTCAGTGTTCTGTCGAGGGCTGATGTGCCTGGCGCCCTGGGCTGGGAGCTGTGCTGTTGCTGGCCCTTCACGGTTGTGAATGATGCCCAGGGCCCCTCACTGTTTCGGCTGTCATGTTCGTGGGAGGAGGGACGCTGGAGGGGGCCAGGCACAGGGATGACATGAGGCTACTTTGCCCCTGCCCAGGAGCATGGGCCTGGTGGCTTAGAGCCGCTGCTGAGTGTGGCCCTGTGGCTCTCTCTGCAGCCTGGCCTGCCGGTGGGCTCCGTCCCGCCCCCCGCCTGCCCTCCGCCCCTCCAGCAGCACTTCCCAGATCCAGCCATCAGCTTTGCTCCTGTGCTGCCGCCGCCCAGCACCCCCGTGCCCACGGGCCCAGGCCAGCCAGCGCCCCCCGGCCAGCAGGTGAGTATGGCGCCTCCTGTGGCCACTGTCCGTCCAGGCAGGCAGTCAGCTGGTCCCTGGGCCCAGGTCTGTGAGTGCCTCCCACAGGCCCCTTCACTCATATCCTCTGTGGTTCCCCCAGGTCTTTGGTGTGGCTGAGGGATGGCGGTGGCTCTCACGTGAGCGTGTGTGTGTGTGCATTTGCATGCGTGCATAGTGTTTGCAGTACCCTGCACATGGAGGGCTCTGCTTATTCAGAATGTCTCTGTAAGATTTGCTGTGCCCACGGCTCCAGGCTGGCTGGAGTTTGGTGGTCTGTGTGTCTGAATGTGTATACATGTGACTGTGCAAGTGTGTGTGCAGGCATATATGAATGTGAGCATGTGTGGGTACATGTGAGGGTGAGGGTTGATAGCCTGTCATGTCTAACCAGTGGGGTACTAACTCGTCTGGGCAGATTGGTGGTCTAAGGGGAGCTGCTTTCTCTCTCTCCAGCCTCCTCCACTGGCCCAATCGACACCCCTGCCACAGGTCCTGGCTCCACAGCCCGTGGGCCCCCTCCAGCCAGTGCCCACTCTTCTGCCGCAGTACCTGGCTCCAGCCTCCCAGGTGGGGGCCCCCGCTCAGCTGAAGCCCCTCCAGATGCCGCAGGCACCCCTGCAGGCGCTTGCTCAAGTTCCTCCGCAGGTACTTCTAGGTTGACAGCTGCCGTCAATGGTGGCGCAAGTTTGCCAGACCCTAGCTGGTGCACCAGGACACCCACAGGGGCTTGTCTGTGCACGTGACCTGTGACCCGGGGTGGGACTGGCCAGGGAGTTGGGGCTGGGCCAGTGAGTCCGGGGTGGGCAGCGTGGGCTTTGTGCACAGTCATATGCACCAGGAATGTTCCAGGGACCCACACAACGGGCCACTTGTCCTTTTTCCCCTGCTCACAATACTGGACCCATGAGTGTCAGCCTCCCTTGGTGGCTGGCTGGGCTGCTGCTGTCTCCTGCCCTCCAGCCTCACCTTCTCTCCCAACCTGGCAGGCCACTCTTGGTCCTTCCAGGCCATCACACCTTCTGGGCTGTGAGTGGTGGATGGGGTCCTTCAGGGAGGGTGGGCAGACCAGCACCCCATCACCCGGCACCCTACCAGCAATGTGCCTGTCTGCTCTCAGTGTACCCATGTGCCCAGGCTCATCCAGGAAGGAAAAAGTTTTTTAGTTCAAGGTCATGGACAGTAGTCTCGAGGTGGTTGCTGGGCTGGCACAGAAAGCGTGTGGGTTTGCCGTGGAGGAGCGTTCTTCTGTGGAGCTCCCTGGGGTCATGTGGCATGTAGCTCTTGGAGTTCCAGGGCCAGCCAGTGGCATTGCTAACTCTCTGGGGACACTATCAGACCCAGCCACACGCAACCGGTGCAGAATGTAGCCGGGGCCAGGATACCATTGCCCAGGTAAATGGCATGGAGGATTCTAGGTATTTCAGAGGCCTTTGGTGACCCCAATGGACTGATCAGTGGTAAGACTGGAAGTGTGCTTCACTCTGAAGATGGGGCAAGCAAGTGCTCCTGCGATTTACGAGCGCCACCTAGAAGATGTTGTCTCACCTACCGCTCATGCCCAGATGTCACCATAGGATGTTAGGTGGCTTCAAGGTCTAGTGCAATCGTCATCTTGCTTGTTCAGACAGAAGTCCATGTGCATTTTTACTGCCTCTTGATTGCATGGAGGTGTAGGCCGGGGACACACACCAGCATGGACCAGAAGGCTGTCAAAGACGGAAGTGCTGAATCCACGTGGCCTGGCGTCAGCTGCCCCTGGAAGGCACATGCATTGCTGAGAAGATGCGGACGAGGTTTCGGAGTTCCTGCTGCGGGAAGGCTGGACAAGATAGGGGTGTCGCTTGAGCCAGCCAAGGTGGCGCAAAGATTTTCTTTCACTGAGAACCCTCTAAGAAGTTAGATTTCAACTTGAATTTGTACATGTTGCGGTATCAGGCTAAGGTGATTGCAGATGCTCAGGGCCAGTCTGGTGGCTCTGACAGTCCCAGCCCTTCCAAATGAAAATGCTCCAGGGCTCTGAAGTCACTTCTCCATGACTTGTGATCGCTGCCCGACTCCCTCGGAGCCCCAGCATGGCTGTCATGAGTGTGGACGCAGGAAGGCCTCCCTGTGCTGGGCTGGGGTGATCTAGCAGGTCGTTTCCAGCCTGCCAACTTTCCTTTTCTATTTCAAGAACTTTACATGATTGGGATTCCTGCTTCTGTTGGGTTTATGTTTGGGTTCCCTTCAACAGCAGCTACACAAAGGTGTCTCAGAGGAAGAGGGCCGTGCTTTCCTTATCCTGTGTCCCCTTGTCCCCAGTGACTGGCTGTCCTTGCATGCAAATGCTGTGGGCAGGGACACTTGGTCGGGGCTCACACTGACGCACTCCTGTGTCTCTTTCAGATGCCCCCGATTCCTGTCGTGCCCCCCATCACGCCCCTGGCAGGAATCGACGGCCTCCCTCCGGCCCTCCCAGACCTGCCGACCGCGACCGTGCCCCCTGTGCCACCACCTCAGTATTTCTCTCCAGCTGTGATCTTGCCGAGCCTTGCTGCCCCGCTCCCCCCTCCGTCCCCAGCCCTGCCTCTGCAGGCTATGAAGCTGCCCCATCCCCCTGGGGCGCCCCTGGCCATGCCCTGCCGGACCATTGTGCCAAATGCACCGGCTGCCATCCCCCTGCTGGCTGTGGCTCCACCGGGCGTGGCTGCCCTGTCCATTCATCCTGCTGTGGCCCAGCTCCCGGCCCAACCTGTGTACCCAACGGCCTTCCCACAGATGGCACCTACCGACGTCCCTCCTTCCCCCCACCACACGGTGCAGAATATTCGGGCCACCCCTTCACAGCCGGCACTGCCCCCGCAACCCACGCTACCCCCACAACCCATACTGCCCCCACAACCTGTGCTGCCCCCGCAACCCACGCTGCCCCCACAATCCATACTGCCCCCACAACCCGTGCTGCCCCCGCAGCCAGCATTGCCTGTGCGCCCTGAGCCCCTCCAGTCCCACCTTCCTGAACAGGCTGCTCCGGCTGCTGCACCAGGGAGCCAGGTAATCACCTGCAGGGCAGGGGCTCACCGTCCCAGCATGTGGGGGGCCCTCAGGACCCAGAGTTGTAAAGGACTTTTGGCTGCTCTGTCTTCCTGCTGGGCCTGTGCTATCCCTAAGTACCTTGACTGAGCACCCCAGCACCTGGGAGCCAGGCAAGGAAGCAGCTCTGCCCGGGGCCGCCCCTCTCAGGAAGAGATGTGTGTGAGGCTGAGGGAGGCAGGGGCTGGCGCCAACGCGGGGTATCTGTATCTCTGTTTTTCGGATGGGTTAGGAGATGAGGGAGTCCGTGGCTGATAGGTTCTATGTCCCTCCCTTCCCACGGCTCTGTGGCCCCTGCTCTTGTGGTATCTTTGCACCTTCCCTCATCCAGGGCTAATCTGGCCGCCTTGATGTGGCCTGCATTGGGGCACAGGGCATCTGTCTGAGGTCTGCCCTTTAAAGAGCACCTTGTTAAGATGAGGCAGGGTGACAACCCCATCTTAGGGAGGGTGAGGAAGCCAGGCCAATAGTGAGGCGGGGGCTGAGGGCAGGTAGCACTGCTGGCTGCAAGGGTGATCATGGTGGGACCCACGACCATGTCCTGGTGTCAGGTCTTGTGGAGACCCCTTGGCAGCATGCTGGCTGGCTGTGAATGGGCGCTCTGGAACACAGGATATGCACCCTACTGATGGGAAGCCTTCCCACAGGGATCCACAGCCCTACAGTCCACTCATGTTTTGGGGCTTACAGACTATTCTGTTCAAACTTGAGTGAGGGGAGAGAGGCTGGTGTGGGAGTCTTCCCACCTGGGCCCTCTCGTGCCTAGGCCTCCTCACCTGGGTCCCATCCTTCTTGGCATCTTCCCACCTGGGCCTCCTCTCCTGGCCTCCGCCCACCTGGCCTCACCCCAGCTCTGAGCCCCATCAACCCTGTAACTGTGGCACAACCCGGCCTTTTGAGCCTCAGCCTCTGCAGGAAAGCGGCTGGCATAGCTTAATGTGAAGGGGCCTGGGGTGGTGCATCCCTGGTGCCAGGTGCCCCCAGTTCCATTAGTGTTGAATCCAGTCTGGAGTAAGACCCCCCACTATGAGCCGTTCCTCCTGGCCATCACTTCTTGCTGTCTTGTCTCCAGAGGGTTTTGTGTGTAAAGAAGGAAGGAATGGTACATAATGGATAGCAGAGTGGCATCTGATGAGACAGTGAGTGGGAAGAATCGCATCCGTTCTGTGGCCCACCTGAGCAAGTGCTGTTGGTCCCAGCGGCAGGTTTAGCGGCAGCTCAGAGCCTGCCGGTTCACAGTCAGGTCTGTTTCTCAGAAAGCCGAGGTCCACACTGGGGAGCAGGAGGGAGACCTTGCTGTCTGGGCCTTCCTACCTGAAGAGCCTTTCTGGCCACAGTTAGTAGCTAGAGAGGGGTCACTGCCAGACTCAGTGGCTGTCCTTGCTGTTCGTCCAGGGAAGGGTCCAGAAGTCTGTTGATGAGCTGGGCCGGCCACCCCATGGTGCCCCTGAATGCAGCAGCTGCGGTTATCTGTCTGTCCAGGAGGGAAGTGGCCACCTGCCAGGCTAGGGCTTGGTATCTCTGACCCCACCACCGGCTGCCAACAAAGGGTCTCAGGGCCAGCAGTCTCAGTGAATGTGGCTGTTCCTTCCAGCCCTGAGAGGCGAGAAGTTCCTCTAAATTTTCAGCCTTCTCAACTCCAAACTGGGGGCAGAAGACAGAGGGTACTTGTGCTTTCCAATCCATGGTCCCTCTTTCCCCACTTGTTTGACCTTTTACCCCCAAAGAGGTTTTAGAGAGAGAACAGTGGGGAAGCCAAGCCTGAGCCACAGTCGCCCTCTGGAAGGTGGCAGGTGTTGGTGGCAGGTGCCCTGTACGTGCTCTGACCAGGGGACAGATGGGGCAGGTTGCCCCAGGCCCCAAGGGGTGGTGGGGGCCTGGCTTCGATGCTGTGTCTTGCCCTCTGACTCTTCAGCTGAGCTTGGCAGATTCATAGACGGAGCCCTGTTCCTGGCCTTTCTACACAAATAGACTCTTACACAGAAAGGGGTGTGAGAATGCCCATTCCTGTTTGTTTCTGCTCACTCCATGCGCTAAATGTGCTCTGAGACAGGGCTCCTCTTGGGGAGGGTGGAGACTGGAGAGGGGGTTCCAGTCTCTGCCTGGGTGTTCACGGACACACCTGGGCACGGACCCTCAGTGAGGGCAGCGTCAAGCCTGACTTGCACCTTGTCCCCTGTGCCCCCAGATTCTGCTTGGCCACCCAGCTCCCTATGCTGTAGACGTCGCTGCTCAGGTCCCCACTGTGCCTGTGCCACCGGCTGCGGTCCTCTCCCCGCCTCTGCCGGAAGTGCTGCTGCCTGCTGCCCCTGAGCTCCTGCCTCAGTTCCCCAGCTCCCTGGCCACGGTGTCTGCCTCTGCGCAGAGTGTGCCCACCCAGACTGCCACACTTCTGCCACCAGCAAACCCGCCACTGCCTGGTGGGCCTGGGATCACCAGCCCCTGCCCAGCTGTCCAGCTGACGGTGGAACCGGCCCAAGAGGTGTGTACTCCTCCCTGCAACCTGTCCCATGACTGGGTAGTTGCAGCCACCAGGGGTCTGCACAGTGACCTGGGGTCTTAGCCCTAGAGGTCGGGGTTACTTGGGTCGGGGACAGCCACCCAGCGCCTGTTCTCATCTCTCCCTAGATTTCGCACTTTCTGTGAGCCACATCAAGACAGAGGGTGTGATTTTTATAGACATAGTTTAGAGGATGCTTTCCCTGGGACAGGATGCAAGAGACTGTGAAAAGCTTTCATAGAACCAGTGCGTCCTCTTTGAGGGATGTTCAAAGTGGGTTACATTTTTGGAAAGGAAGTGGCTCCCAGCTTTCATGAATCCACTTGGCTCCAAGTGTTTCAACAAGATAAAAAACCTCCAAGCCTTCCCCCATTGCGGTGCCCCCTGGGTCGTACCCACCTGGCTGCAGAAGAGAGCAGGAGAAGGCAGGGGAGCAGGCTGGGCCGAGGAGGTGGGGAGGGAGAGCTGACTGTGAGCGGCTGTGCCCACAGGGAGGCAGGAGCCAGCATGACCCGTCCTCTTTTCTCTGCGTTTTTATTTCAGGAGCAGGCCTCGCAGGACAAGCCGCCTGGCCCCCCGCAGAGCTGTGAGAGGTACTGTGGCCCAGCCTCAACCTTGAAGTACAGGTTGGGGGGTGCAGGCCCATACAGCCACTCAGCCTGGCTCTTCTACTGCTTCCCATGGAACCCACTGCAGTTTGCCCTGATGCTTTTAGGGCTTTTTCAAACCTTACCTGATGGAGCCTCAGGGGCCTCCTCTCTGGGTCTTGCCAGCTGTTGTTGGAGTTTGGTAGTCTGAGGCCCCCTGGGCTCTGGGTCCCTGCTCTGGTTTGTAGTACTGAGAATGTTCCCGAAGGGAGAGGCTATGGGTGGAGTCCGAAGTGCCCAGAGGCTCGGAGGGGCCTGGGAGGGTGGCCCTCTGTGTTCAGGGTTGAATCCAGACCGGATCCTGGGTCTTCTGGCCTCCTGGGCTACAGGCACAGGTATTTCAGGAAATGAACTGTGTCCTTATGTGAACTGTGACCATTTGTTCCACTCTCCTGTGGTACGGGGCACTGCCTGTGTTTGGCATTTTGCAGACTGCAAACAGATTGACTTCACAACAGTGGCTGATGTGTTTCTGTTGCTATGGCACAGATGGGGAAATTGAGGCACAGGGGCCAATTCACAGGTCAGGAGACTGAGAGGACCAGGGTCATGCAGCCAGTAGCTAGGAAGCCTGTGCTTCCCTCTGCCTGTGCTCCTTGAGTGCAGCAGGGAGCAGGATGTGGGCCCAGAAGTAGGCTTGGGGTATCCACACAGGACAGGGGCTGCTTCCGTAGTCACAAATTTGGGCCCTGGAGACTCCAGACTGTTCCATAGAAGCCGACTTTCCCCACCATAGCTGACCTGCTGGTTGTCCTTTGGTGCCATTAATGTTCTTGGTTTTTGCCCAGCTACGGAGGTTCTGATGTCACTTCTGGAAAAGAGCTGAGTGACAGCTGTGAAGGCGCTTTTGGAGGGGGCAGGCTGGAGGGCAGGGCAGCCCGGAAGCACCACCGCAGGTCCACGCGCGCACGCTCCCGGCAGGAGAGGGCCAGTCGGCCCCGACTTACCATCCTGAACGTAAGTGGGCGGGGCACGCGGGGGGGCGTGGCCGGTGCGCGGGGCACGTGGTGTGTGCGCGTGGCACGTGGCGTGTGCGCACAGCGCGGGCTGACGGTGCCCTTTCCAGGTGTGCAACACTGGGGACAAGATGGTGGAGTGCCAGCTGGAGACGCACAACCACAAGATGGTGACCTTCAAGTTCGACTTGGATGGGGACGCGCCTGACGAGATCGCGACGTACATGGTGAGGTTGGGTCAGGGTGGCTTGGCTCCCGCTGTTCCTTGGGGGCGCATGGGCCCGAGCAGAGCGCCACAGGTCACATGTTGGGCCTGACCTTGTGTAGAGGTGTCAGTTGGCCCAGGGGCTTTTCAGGGGCAGTACTGACCATTTACTCTGCGGGCTCTTCCCCACAACGGGCTGAAACCTCCTGGGTTTGGAAGAACAGCTTGAAGGATGTGTCCCTAACCTTTCTAAGATGCTGCTCCCTGAGGGCTTCTGGAGCACCTGAGCCTTTCCTCCAAAAAAAAAAGGAAGCCTTGTGGGTAGGTTCTATGAGTAAGGCCTGGGGAGGGCATCCCAGAGTCTAATGTCCTGTGGTCCTTAGGTAGAGCCTCTTCCAGCCTCCCCAGCTAGGATGGGGGCTCCAAGCCCTGACCCATGTCCCATGCCCCCACCCAACTCTGCCTGCACCTCCCTTTGGAGCTACCCCTCCCTGTCTGTGCAGACCAACCTGAGTCCATAAGCACCTTGTAGGCCTTCACAGCCCCACACCTGTGGTCCCTGGCACCTAACCCATGCTGGGACTGGGGATCTTTTTTGGGCCCTCAGAAGCTCTCCAGCTGAAAGCACACATGAAGAAACACATGGAAAGGATGCACGTGTTTCCTCAAATTTCCTGGTCCGCCTGTGACTGCCTTCCAGGAGAGTATTCTCTCCAGACCATTATTCCTGCATTAATGAGGTTTAGGAAGCCAGGTCCTAAAGGGGCTGGCAGCACACTGGACAGTGTTGTAGTTCTCACTCCAGATGGCCACCGAGTGCCTGGAGTGGGCCAGCATGAGTAGGGAATAGAATATTCCATTCAAGTTAAAAACAGAGATTGCCCCATGTGTCTACCTTGCGGCTACCCCCTTGGGCTGCATCACCCTGGCCACCCCTGCCCTGGCTTCATGAAATCCTCATGTGGGCTTTGCAGGGAAGCCCCTGGCTTTCTGCTCCTAGGGAGCAAGTTCCTGCCTTAGTATCTGCTTTGCAGAGACACCTTGGACAAGGCCCTCCCAGAGCCCAGGCCCAGGGCATAGTCCCCTGCAGCATTAGAGATATTCTTCTGACACTTGTTACAGTGGTTGGGAAGACTTTATTCAGGACTGTGGCAACAGGGGAGAGAGAATGAGTTTAACTGAACGAAGCAGAGACCACAGGGGAATCATAGCCAAGGAGCAGTGTGGGGATGGGTGGCTGGAAGATAGCTAAGAGGAGACGTCAAGGTCGGGGATTCTGGAGAAACCCTGGTAACAGGATCCTTGCTGGGGGCAGGCGAGAGGCTTTGTTCAACCTCAAAGGTGGGAGATGAGGAATATGGTCAGATATGAAGGCTGGGAATTCTCACTACAACTGGTTAAGGCTAAAGACAGGACGGGGCCTGGTCGGAGGGTCAGAGGCGCCAGCTGCACTTCGGTTAGGGAAGAGTCTTCGTCAGCAGCCAGCAGCTGGTTGCTTGGCACAGCAGGAATGCCAGATCCTCGCTGGGTTGCTGAAACTGGAGAACATCTCTTATCTTACTGTGTCTTTAACCTGTGTCTTGTCTTACTTTATACACACACGTTTCAAGCATGATAAAGAATAATAATAAAGCAAATGCCTGTGAAGTTATCACTCAGCCACAGGCTGATGCTGTCTGTGCAGCTGATCCCTCCACCAGCACCTGTCTGCAGAGCGGGAAGCCACACACACAGCATCAGCCACATCAGCTTGTGTCGTGCCCGCTGGTCCCCTGGTTTCAGTCTTCTTGCGTGTCTCTGTGTGTGAGTCTTTGTGAGCCGCACACGTGTAAGTCCTGCACAGTAAGTGATGTGGCTATTCTTTAGCTGTGTGCTTTGTAAAAGTAGCATCTTCTCAGACTTGGTTTTTATACTCAGCACTCAGATATACTCCTCTTATTTTATTGCTTTTTCTATCACCTTAGTAAACCAAGTCACCTAGCATACCTGTCTGAAGTAAGCGTGCTACAGACACACAAATTCGGTCCATAAAAACAGCCCAGCAGTCCTCCCCGTCACAACCTGTTCCTGTCCCGGGAACTGAGTGGCCCCAGGGGCCCGAGTTGAAGGGTGGGTGTGTGGCCAGCGAGACAGGCGCAGTTCAGACAAGCTCCTGACTGCCCTGTGGACTTTCTTCGTGGGAGTGTGAGGCACCAGGCGTCCTTCAATGTCTTGTCAGTGGTTAGAGGTCTTCAGGCCTCAGGTTCATCATTCTAACTGTAAAGACCTTTCCAGCCCCTTAGTAAAGGTGGAACTGCAGAAGTTTCATTTAATTGGCATGGATTCTAAAGTCAGGTTATACCTGGGCCCTGTATTTTTAGATTTTTGTTTTGTTTTCAAATTAATTTTATTCTCAACATACTTAAAAAGAAACATGATAGGAAAACATTTTCTAGTTGGAAAGGTGTTCTAGTTAAATTTTGTTTAGTGAAAACTTCACAGAATTGGAACATTGCTTAAATTCTCGCATGGAGCACTCCTGTCACAGCAGGCAAGATGCTTCACCTTTGGCCACAATGTACTATTCCTCATAAGACAACATCGCAGTCACACGCTACACTAAATTAACTCAATCACAGAACACAGCACAAGCCAGCACTTTGTCTAGGGGTGTATGCAGGTGGTACTCCTGGGGGTGGGGTCTGGGGTGCCAGGGGAGTGGGGGGTGCAGAGGAGCCCTGCTTTGCAGCCAGCTGGTTAAGCAGGGCAGATGGGCCCATCCCAGAAGAGGTCTGGGACCATGGATGCCCCAGGCCAGGCCTAGAGCATCTTGGTGACTGTAGAGGGGTGTAGGTGGGAGGAGGTGCCATGGCAGGAAAGGGGCAGGGTCTGGACCCCACTGGGTGGCGGCACAGGCTGACCTCTTTCATTGGTATGGTTTTATGAGATGCACAGCAGTCTCTCTGCCTGAGTGGCCAAGGATGTAGCCAAAGCCGGGTGTGAGCTTGGGGCCACGTGCCCACAGTGAAAGTTGGGGACTGTGGATGTGTCCTGAGCTCCTGGTCTGGAGGCTTCATGATTTCCAGGCTGTGGCGTGGGACCTCCCCTCAGCCATGACAGGAGCTGCTCGTTGGACATCAGGCCATGCTTGCGTGTGTGCTGGGGCCATAGTTGAAGGTCAAAGGCTGAGGCTGGGAGAGCTGGAGGTGCAGAGACCAAGAGGTGACATGGGGCCCACCTGCTATAGCCTTCCCATCCCGCTGATGCTTTCTATCCCCCCACAACCTCCTGCTGGCTGGAGCCTTTGCCTTCGATCCCACCCTCCTTATCTGTCATGACTGTCTGGGCACCTGTGCCCAGGTAGACCCCCTCCCCTCTTCCCAGTCCCCGTCCTCGGCCCCCTCCATCCTGTGTACTCACCTGCTCTGCAGATGGCTGCACCAGCCTCAGGGTCTGTAACCAGCTCCAGCTGGGGCAGGACAATGATGGCTCAGGTCCCTGGCTTGGAGCAGGGAGTTGCCGGCTTGGGGTGGGGAGTTCCTTCTTAAGATGAAGCTGCTCTCCTCCCATCCTGGGGCCATCCATGTCACTTGCTGAGCTGTTCAGCCCCTGTCTTGGGGACTGCACCCCTTCCCCATGTCTTCCCCTGGGGCCTGGTATAGGGTAGACATCCGTCAATCCAGATGAAGACCCAGGGCAGTCTTGGCCTTGCAGCTGGTCCTCATCGGTAGTGCATCTCTTTGCAGGTGGAGCACGATTTCATCCTGCAGGCTGAGCGGGAGACGTTCATTGAACAGATGAAAGATGTCATGGACAAGGCGGAGGACATGCTTAGCGAGGACACGGATGCCGACCGTGGCTCCGACCCAGGGACCAGCCTACCACACCTCAGCACCTGCGGCCTGGGCGCCGGGGAGGTGAGGTTGTGAAATCCTGGTTGGGAGGTGGGCGTTGGGCGCGGCAGCTCAGTGGACTCGTTTCTGACCCTCCACCTCATTCAGGAGAGCCGGCAATCCCAAGCCAACGCCCCCGTGTATCAGCAGAACGGTGAGTCTGTAACTTCCTTCCCTGCTTTTCAGCGGGCGTTTGATAAAAGCCCCTGCTCAGCATATTGCCAGGGGTTTGGCCATTGCACGGGGGGATTATGGAAGCATGTGGTGACCAGGGGGCTCCCATCTGGGGACAGCTGTCCTGTCCAGGAGCTGTCACCTGCAACTAGCATCATGGCCTTCATGGATGGTGCCTTGGGCATCCCAGAAGACAAGCCTATGCCAGAGACCCTCTTGGGAGCTTCTGGGTGCCAGTGAGGCACCCCAGGTTGACTGTGTACCCCTTGTCCTCTGGTATGAGGGAAGAGCAGGCAGAAACCCGTCACTAAGGCCTCCTTACCAAGGGGCCTGAGGAACCACCTGCTTCATGGAGGGAAGTGATAGGGATTATGACTGAGAATAGTGTTCTCTGCTCACACCCTTCCTGGAGAAAATCCCATAGGCTAAAGGAGTTCCCCGGACGTTTGGTGCCAAGTCTGGTGCAGGTGGTGGGGGTCACATCGGCCTGGAGAGACACTCACTCACTCAGTGTGCTGTTTCTGTTCTGCCCTTCAGTCCTGCACACTGGGAAGAGGTGGTTCATCATCTGTCCGGTGGCTGAGCACCCCACCCCCGAGGCCCCTGAATCTTCGCCCCCACTTCCTCTAAGCTCCCTGCCGCCAGAAGCCAGCCAAGGTATGAGCAGCCGGCACCCACCCAAGCCCCTCCTTGGTTCACTTGCAGGCCTCCTTCTGTGCATGACCCCGCTGGTATGTGCCTGGTGTCCAGGGCCATACAGGGGCTCACCCTGCCCTGTCACCCACGGTGCAGGGCATCCTGAGGGGCTATATTCTTGTCCCTGTTTTCCACCGAATCAGCTCAGTCGAAGCAGCTTCCAGGCTTGAGTCTGCCCTGTTACCCCACCAAGCAGGTGGCTTGTGTGGCCGCACAGGTGTGTGGTGAAGAGCTCCGCCACCCTTCCTCCGCAGTGTTAACCTGGCGACTCCTTGCTCCCATCCCTTTCCTCTGCGCCGCACACCTGCAGCAGACACGCCCCTGTTAGTTCTACTTGCTTTGTTGGGTGGGGTGGGAAAGTCCCTCCTGGTGCTGAGACTCTGATTTTAAAGTGTTCACACAGGCGTTGATCACTGTGCATTGATCTGCACCTGTACCTGCCCATATAGATGCCAACAAGCCTGTGCTTTGGGCTGTCAGTTAAATCTTGATGGTCTTTTGGGAGGCTAAAAATTGTCGCTTGAACAAATTTAAGGTTTAATCCCCTATCAGTTGGCAGGGAAAAGTTACTGATTACATAACTTGACATAATCTCATGGCACATTCATGAAAAATATGTGTAAATCTTTTTAAATTTTATATCATGTGCTTCCAATGACTTCCATTATCTTTTGGAGATTCTTTCCCATGAGGGACAGGTCAGCCTAATAAATCCAAATGAAGCCACCAGCTGAAACAAGGTGATCTCAGGTAAAGGGCTTGGGCCCAGCCTGGGCTGAGAAATCAGAGAGAAGCAGGCTTGCCTACAAGATTCAATTTTTAAGTAAGAACATGTTCATATATTACTTCTGGATTTTAGTACACACACACCCAATTATAAGAAAAACCCTTCTAAGAGCTAAATTTTCCTTTGAGATAGGGTGCAGGGGACACTGGTGTCAGTTTAGGGGACAGTAGAATGGAGTTAAACCCTTTTTATGCACTGAGTGACTTCAGGAAACCTTTTAGAGTTAGTTTCTTTTTCTGTTAAAAAAAGGAAGAATTGGTGACAGAACTGTTAATTTGGATTAACCATCCACTGATAATGACCCAAAACTGATAAAAGTCATCTATGTGAATTGAAGGCATTTGAAATCTGATCATAGTGGAGAATTACCTAGGCTGGGGTGCAGGGGAGGATGGAGACATAGGGGTGTGAGCCTAGTTCTGGCTCCTTTTCCCTGGGGAGCATCTCCCATTCCTGCAGGGGTGGCTGAGAGGCTATGTGGTGTCAGCAGCCTCACTAGGCTAGAGAAAAAGAGCCTATAGAGTCGAGGACCCTGAGGGTGTCCCTGCCAAAGTGCTGTACTGGAGGAGGAAGGCCCAGCTGGACGGAGACAGGCCTGCAAAGAGAGGAACACACCTCAGAGCATCTCAGCCCCTCATTAGGGCAGTCTCAGAGTGCATGGGCTCAGGCAAGAAAGTCCTTTCTGCAAGAGGGAATATTATTCTGGGACCTCACATGACTTGTACGAACAGTTTTGTGAATATGGTATCTGGCACATAATAGAAATGAACAAAGAGTTGGGTTCTGGGTAAGGCAGAAGCAGCACATGCACTCATTTTCTTTCCACTGAAATGCACTGTGAATCCTGGACAGATGTGTGACACAGCTGTCTGAGCATTTGGGAAAACTTTAGCAGTGGGAAGATTGGGGAAGCACTCCATAATTCAAAATGTCGCTGAGCTGGTGGTGAGTTGATGTTTTCCTCTGGTATTTCTTGGTCTGAACAGAGTATACCCCAACGACCAGAAGCAAATGCTTTGGTGCAGGCAGGGAAGTCTCCAGGAGAAATTCTGTAGTTCCAGCTCTCAGACCAGGAGAGGCAACTCATAAAGCTCAGAGAAGAGAGAGAACCCCTCCCCATTGCTCACCCCCTTTCTCTTGCACCAGCACCCACACATAATAGGAGCAGCAGGTAGCATGCAAGAGCCAAAATAGAGCAGAGAACTGTTCTTTATGTTGAGGGAGCCAGGGCTTTAGAAGCACAGAACCAAAATCTGTTACCTTTTTTTTTCCACTGTCTTCTTGCCACCTGGTCTTTCATGGCACAGCCACAGAACTGGGTGGTTTCTGTCCAGAGATTTGGAAAGGTGAGTCCTAGGGAACCAGAAGGTATCACAGAGAGCACAGAAAAGGAGTTTGGGAAAGTAACCTTATAAAGTTGTTTATGGACTCCTGGGCTCACCTCCAACCTGTGCAGTCATACGTCTGATCCTAAGAGCATGTAAGAAACTTTGGCAACTGAGCTAATGGGTAGACCTCACCCAGGTTCCAGTACACCTGTTTCAGATGAGATTAGTACTGTGAAGGCATTGAAAATGGAACTGACATGTAACCACAACCCATAGAAGGCAGGTTGCAACTTGCAGTCTGAACCTAACCAGGTTGACTGCCTACAGAAGCAAAAATACCAGTATTGGTCATAGGACTTAAACAAGTCTCAGGATTTCCTAATGTCATTGAAAATGTTCCGAATAGAATTCGAAATAATTTGGCAAATGAAAATCCATGAAAATGTTAACTTGCATGGAAAATGATAGCCATGGTGCCAGTGACAAGGTGATATAGATTTTTGGGTGATCTGACAAAAACCTTAAAGCAGCTGTTACAAATACAACTCAAAAAGCAGTGGTAAACATTCTTGAAACAAAGGATAAAGTAGAAAGTATCTGCAAAAAAGAAACAAATAGAATTTTTAACATTGAAAGTTAAAATACCTGAAATTGTCCAACTGGGAAATGGGGAAAAGATATAAAAAAAATAAACAGAGCTTCAAGGAACTGTGGAATAACAGCTAAAGGGCTAACTTGTGTGTCATTGGAATCTCAAAAGGAAAAGAGAAAGAGTGCAGTGCAGAAAACACATTTGAAGAAATAATGCTAAAAATTTCCCAAGTTTGGTGAAAGACATAAGTCTACAGATGCTAGAAGCTAAGCAAACACCAAATAGGTTAAATGCAAATCAATCTGCTGAAAAATAAAGACAGCCAGACAAAAATTATGCAGTTACCTAGATTGGAACAGAAATTTGAATGACTATAGATTTCTCACCAGAAAGTGTGATGTCCAGAAAGAAGCATCAGGGCATTTTTAAAGTGTTGAAAGAAAGAACTGTCCACCCAGAATTCTGTTTCCAGGGGAAATATCCTTCAAGAATGAAGCTGAAGTAAGGCCATTTTCAAATAGAGAAAACTAAGGGAATTCATGGGCTGCACACCTACTATAAAATTAGAATTGCTAAAGATCTTCAGGCAGAAAGGAAATGAAACTAGAAGATAACTTGGAACATCCAGGCTGAAGGAAGAGCAGCAGCAATGGTAAATATAATAGACTGTTTTTCTCGAGTTCCTTAAAACGTTTCTGACAATTGAAGTAAAAAAAAAAAAAAAAGATTATAACAATGTCTGATAAGGCTTTCAATAAATGTAGATGTGATATATAACACAACTATGATATGGCAGCTTACCTGTACATTACTACATTCCAATTCAAGTAGTAAACTACTATTCTTTTTTGTTTTTGAAATGGAGTTACATTCTTTGTTGCCCAGGATAGAGTGCAGAAGTGCAATCTTGGTTCACTGCAACCTCCACCTCCTGGGTTCGGGCAATTCTCCTGTCTCAGCCTCCCCAGTAGCTGGGATTATAGCCACCCGCTGTCGTGCCCAGCTAATTTTTGTATTTTTAGGAGAGACAGGGTTTTACCATGTTGGCCAGGCTATTCTCGAGCTCCTGATTTCAGGTGATTCACCCACCTTGGTTTCCCAAAGTGCTGAGATTACAGGCATGAGCCACCACACCCGGCCACCTTCCATTCCACCAGTGTGACAAATGGAAGGTAAACTACTAATTTTAAGCAGACTGTGAAAAGTTAAGTATGTATTTTGGAATTCCTAGAGCAACCACTGAAAGAATTGTACAAAAAAATATGTATAGGCAAAATTATAATAGATTATATGAACTAAAAAATTCAGATAACGCAGAAGAGGAAACAAGAAGAGAAGTAAAATATTTTTAATTAAAAAACTGAGAGAAAAAAATAGAAAACAAACAATAAAATGGTAGACCTTAATCTAAACATATTGATAACCTCAAGGTAACAGTCTTAACTCATCTATTAAAAAAAGTGATTATGAGAACGGATTAAATTTAAAAACCTAACAACTTGAGCTACGTATATGCTATTAGTAATTTCAAATACAAGAATACTGATACTGAAAGGTCAAAAGAAAAAGAGGGGTAAATATAGACCATGTAAACACAAATCAAAAGAATGCTGGATTGCCTGTTTTAATTTCTGACAAAACAGACTTCAGAGCAAAGAAATTACCAGGGTTAAAAAGAGACATTACATATTTATTTATTTATTTTATTTGTTTGTTTTTTTGAGACAGAATCTCACTCTGTTGCCAGGCTGTAGTATAATGGCATGATCTTGGCTCACTGCAACCTCCCCCATCCAGGTTCAGGTGATTCTCCAGCCTCAGCCTCCCAAGTAGCTGGGACTACAGGCACATGCCACCATACTGAGCTAATTTTGTAATTTTCATAGAGATGGGGTTTCACCATGTTGGCCAGGATGATCTTGATCTCTTGACCTCATGATCCACCCGCCTCAGCCTCCCAAAGTGCTGGGATTACAGGCATGAGCCACCACCCCCTGGCTGACATTACATATTTATAAAGGGTAAATTCATCAAAGGACGTAACAGCCCTACATGTGTATACACCTAAAAGCAGAGCTTCAAAACTAATGGAACTGAAAACAGAAACAGACAAATCCACAACTATAGTTGGAGACCCCAGCAGTCTCAATAATAAATAGAACTAGTAGGCAGAAAATTAGCAAGAATATAGAAGATCTGAAAACACTATCAACCAACTTGACCTAAATGACATTGATAGAACACTCCCCTCAAAAACAGAATACATTTTTTCAAGTACGTATAGAACAATTAATATATCCTGAGTTATAAAACAAAAAAGCTTAACAAATTTAAAAGTATTGAATTTATGTCAAGTATGTTCTCCAATACAGTATAATTTAAAATTAAATAACACTTCTAAATAATTTACAGGTAAGAGAAAAAATTGGAAGGAAAATTAGAAAACAATTTGAAATGAACAAGAATGAAAACATAATAAATTTGTGGGATGTAGTTAAGGCAGTACTTAGAGGGAAATTTATAGCACTAAAATGCTTAGATGAAAAAAGAAGTGGCAAGTCAGTAACTCAACCTTCTACCTTGAGAAACAAGGAAAACCTATAGCAAAATAAGTCTGAAGCAAGCATGATGAAGAAAATAAAGACAAGAGCACAAAGCTATGATATCTAAAACAAAGATAATAGACAAAAACCAATGAAATAATGAACTTATTTTTTTAAAAGTTGACAAAATGATAAACCTCTAGCAAGACTGTAAGGAGAAAACAAAATACCAATACTAAAGAAAACACGTAAAATATCAATAACAGAAATTAAAGAAGTATATTACTGTAGTTAAAGGATAATACTGCAGTAGTCTGAACAAGCCTACAGACAGAAATTGAACAATTTAGGTGAAAGAGACATTCCTCAAAAGCCACAAACTACTAAAAGTCAATAGAATAATCTGCATAGCTCTAAACCTGTTTTTAAATTCATTCTTTTAATAATGAATTTGTAGTTAAAAATCTCCCCAAAAAGAATTCTCCACGCCAAGATAGTTTCACTGGTGGACTCTGCTAGACATTTAAAAGAAATATAACACCAGTACCTCTTCCACAAAATCTCTTCCAGAAAATAGAAGAGCAAAGAACACTTCCCAAATCATTTTACGAGGCCAACACTGCCCTGATTTTAGGGCCAGCCAAAGACAGTACCAAAAAAGAGAATGATAGAGCAGTAAGTTTCATGAACATAGACGGAAAATGTTCTCAAAATATTAGCAAGTCAAATTCAGCAAAATATTAGAAGGACAGCATGCCATGAGAAAGTGGGTATATGCCCGGAGAGCAATATTGAAGAATCAGTCTACCATGTTAACAGTCTAAAAGAAGGAGGAAACATGTGATCATAACAGTTGATACAGCAGAATCATTTGACCGAATACAACATCCGTTCATGACAAAAAACCTTGGCAAACCAGCCAGGCACAATTGCCTATAGTTCTAGCTACTTGGGAGGCTGAGGCAAGAGGATCACTTGAGGCCAGGAGTTCAAGGCTGCAGTGTGCTAAGGTTGTGCCTGTGAATGGTCGCTACGTTCCAGTCTGGGCAACACAGCAAGATCCTTGTCTCTCTCTCTCTCTCTCTTTCTTTTTTAAAGATAATAGTTCTCAGCAAACTAAGAAAATAGGGGTACTTCCTCAACCTGATTAACTTAACACACACACACACACACACCATAAAAGCCCACTGTTTATAGCATATTTAGACCAAATGTGTTCTCCCTAAGATAAACAAGGCAAGAATATGTTTTCCCCCATCTTATTCAACATTGAACTGTCTTGGCCAGACTTAAAGACAAGCAAGAAACAAATGAAAGGCATATGGATTAAAAAAGAAGAAATAAACTATCTTATTTGCAGATAACATGATTTCATATGTAGATGATGACATGGATTCTACAGCAATAACTCCTAGAACCAATAAATGAGTTTAGCAAGATCATAGGACACGTGGTCGTCATTCAAAAATACCTCAGTATTTCTATATACTGGCAGTGAACAATTGAAAACCCCAAATTTGAAAGCAGTACCATTTATAGTAGCTGCCCCCAAAAGGATCTATATAAATACAAATTTAACAAAACATGCAAAATTTGTATGCTGAAAACTAGAAAGTACTGATGAATCAAAGGTTACCTAACTAAATAAACATACTGTGTTCATGGATTGGAAGACTCAACATATTTGTAAAAATGTCAGTTCTCCCCCAAATGGATCTATAGATGTATTGCAGTAACAGAAATTAAAGTAGATCACTTTTTGTAGATATGGACATTCTAAAATTTATATGGAAGTGCAAAGGAAATAGAAATGGCTAAAATTGTTTTGAAAATGGAGAATCAAGCCAGGTGCAGTGGCTTACGCCTGTAATCCCAACACTTTGGGAGGCTGAGGCGGGTGGATCACAAGGTCAAGAGATTGAGACCACCCTGGCCAACATGGTGAAACCTCGTCTCTACTTAAATACAAAAATTAGCTGGGTGTGGTGGTGTGCGCCTGTAGTCCCAGCTACTTGGGAGGCTGAGGCAGGAGAGTCACTTGAACCCCGCAGGTGGAGGCTGCAATGAGCTGAGATCGTGCCACTGCATTCTAACCTGGCAACAGAGCAAGACTCCATTTCAAAAAAAAAAGAAAGAAAATGGAGACTCAAGTTAGGGGGATCACATTACTGAATATTAAGTTTACTATAAAGTTATGGCAATCTAGACAGTATAATATTGGCAAAGGGATTAGTACACACATAAGTGGAACAGAATAGAGAGCCCAGAAATAGACCCACACAAATATGGCCATTTGATTTTTTTGAGAAAGATGCCAAAGCAATGCAAGAAGAGATAATCTTTTCAATAAATGTTGGAACAGTTGGTCATCCTTATGCAGAAAAAAAATGAACCTTTACCCTAAGCCTAACATTTTACTCAAAACTTAATTCAAAGTGGATCAAATGTAAAATGCAAAACTGTATAACTTTTACAAGGAAACATTGAAGAAAATCTTTTTTGATCTGTGCCAGGCAGGAGTTCTTAGACCTGGTACCAAAAGTATGACTCATAAAAGAGAAAATGGGCCGGGTGCAGTGGCTCACGCCTGTAATCCCAGCACTTTGGGAGGCCAAGGCGGGTGGATCACCTAAGGTCGGGAGTTCAAGACCAGCCTGACCAACATGGAGAAACCCCATCTCTACTAAAAATACAAAATTAGCCAGGTGTGGTGGAACATACCTGTAATCCAAGCTACTCGGGAGGCTGAGGCAGGAGAATCGCTTGAACCCGGAGGTGGAGGTTGTGGTGAGCCGAGATTGCACCATTGCGCTCCAGCCTAGGCAATAGGAGTAAGACTGTCTCAAAATAAAAAAGAGAAAGAAAGAAAAAGAAAAAAAAAAAAGATAAATCAGGCAGTGTCAAAATTAAAATCTTTTGCTCTGTGTAAACTACTGTTAAGAGAATGAAAAGGTAAGCTACAGACTGGTAGCAAATAATGGCATATCACGTATCCAACCCAGTGTCTGTGCTAGGAATATATAAAGAATTCTGAAAACTCAACAGTAAAATGAGCATAATAACTGAGCAGCTCACTTGATCAGACACTTAACTAAAAAGGATGGCGATTAAGTACATGAGGAGGTGTTCAATATCATTGACTATTGGGGAAATGCAAATTAAAGCAGCCACAGGGAGGCCTCACTGCATACCTGTTAAAATGACTAGACTGTACCAAATCTGGGTGTGGCTGTGGAACAGCTGGAACGCATATATCCCTGGTGGGGATGTGAAACAGTACAGCCATTCTGGGAAACAGGCAGTTTATTTATTATTATTATTATTATTATTATTATTTTGAGAGGAGTCTCTCTGTTGCCAGGCTGGAGTGCAGTGGCACCATCCCGGCTCACTGTAACCTCCACCTCCCGGGTTCTGGCGATTCCCCTGCCTCAGCCTCCCACGTAGCTAGGACTATAGGCATGCACCACCACACCTGGCTAATTATTATTATTATTTTTTTGTATTTTAGTAGAGACGGGTTTCACCATGTTGGCCAGGATAGTGTTGATCTCCTGACCTTGTGATTTGCCTGCCTTGGCCTCCCAGAGTGCTGGGATTGCAGGCATGAGCCACTGCACCCAGCCAGCTGTTTACTATAAAAGACATACTTACTCTATGTAATAGCAGTTTTACTCAGTTTTTACCCGAGAGAAAT